TATGCCAAGCATGACAAGCAAGAGGTAGTCTTGGGCAGCAATGTTTCTTCCATTCTGATGGATAATGCAAGAGCAGAGACGGGAGCTAGTGCGGGTGCATTGGGTGACAGAGGAATAGAGAGGAACAGGCCTAGGAACCAGAGATGCCTGCTCTTATGCCACTGTGGTCTATAAGTGAGCGTGTTTGATCAGGAAGGTCTGATGCATAGGTACGTAGGGAGTAACCGTAGTACCCAGGATCGGCGAACAGCAGCTCGTGGGGTGCAAGCTTCAGACGTGTGACCAATGTGGTTGTTTGGACCGGGCCATGGCTCCACACACGCCTAAGCAGTTTTATTATTCTTGCAATATACCACTTCCCACTAACGGTCCCATGTACCTATGGAAGAGGAGATCAGACGGCTCTCCTCATCAAGAGGGAGGTGGGCGTAGATGGCGTCGAAAATCCAGCCTGAGGAGACCGGACTGGTTAAAAGCCGTCTTTCGGAAGGCTATAGTTGTCCGTCTATGCCACACGTTCCTTTGACTTCATGGCGAGCTAGCTATGCTTGGTAACCTTAGCCAGATACTTTTCTTGGTTTTCATTGTTGCAATTTTCTTATCATAAGATGGCTGGGTAGATATACCCTTAACATCATCAGATGCCTTCTGTATGCTGACGCTTTGTTAGACACGCCGACACCGAAGAGCTCACCGATGAAATACGCGAAACCCTCACCCACCACAACAGGGCATATCAGCGTTGTGCCATAGATCGGAAAATCTATTTTGTACCAGTCGACGATGTCTGTAACCGCTTATAAAGATCCCCAAATCTTTGCTTTTTCCTCGTTTCCTTTTTTGTTCCCTTTTTCTGGTTTCTTTTTCCTTTTTGGCCGGTCTCGAAACTGATAGCGATACGCCTCTCTTAGGATGAGACAATTCGTTTACGTTTGCAGCATGATGTTCTGTCCATGGTTTTCGACGGAAGATCTGTGTTCCCACCCATGGGATCACTGAGACGGGTACTAGACTGCGGATTTGGAACTGGCTTGTGGGCTTTCCAGGTGGCATGGGAGAATCCTAGGTGCGAGGCATGTACAGCAAAATTCCTTGGGTTGGTTCTTCTTCGTGATATCCTAGTACCTTGAAGTAGGCTCTCGGACAGGAGCCCCTTACAGCCTCGAGTCCTAAACCCTCGATAAAACCTAGCTCCTGTGCTGTGGTACAGCTGGTCTGTGGTATTAGGATGTCGTCCATCTTCACCTTTGGCTGGCATTAGTTCCCGATCCAACTAAGGCGAATTGATAGTAGAATGATAGATTCGGTGAGCTTGATGCTCGCGAATGGAATCCTTTTGTAGTTTAACCGTCCTTAGCTAACAAGAAACCCTGTAGGTCATTGGAATCGACGTGAGCCCCCATCATTATAACCCCGAGGAGAGCGTTGACAACCTCTACCTTAACGTCGACAACCTCAATATGCCGTAAGAGTCGAATACCCGATTATAAGAGCACATATCTCAACTTGTCACCTTCCAGGCTTCAGTTCAATTCGAGTCACTTCGACCTTGTCAATAGCCGACTAGTAGCAGGAGGCATCGACCGCACCCGATGGCATAGCTACATGCGCGATATCCTCCGATGCCTGCGCGTGGGTGGATGGTGCCAGATGGTGGAAATCGATTTCAACGCCCAGTCCGACAATGGTACACTGACAGACAGTAAGGGATGCATCTTGGGTCTAGAGGCGACCGTGCTCATTAATGTTCGGAAATAGGTCACGCACTTCGTCAATGGTCAGATAAATACCTTCGAGCAATGTCGCAATTCAAAAACCCCGAGGCACCGCGGCGTCTTGGACATTGGATGAGGCATGCTGGTTTTGCTGATGTCGAGGAGCGAAGTACGTTTTTGGGATTTATACCCCTTAATATCGTCGGTCACAGGGGCATGGCCTGCCTGTTCGGTTGGCACATTTTCTGGGCGGCCCCCCCTGAATCATGACTTTTGCCCCTAATTTTTTTCGAGGTGTATACGCTGACTTTTGCTATTCTCCTAGTGATTCCCCTTCCGATGTGCGGATGGTCTGATGGTATGTGTACTGAATCTTCTGGTGGGTTTTGAACCTGACACCGCAGCACAGTCCAGAGAGATTTTGATATTGGCGTTGCCAATCAAGAAAACGTTCGGTTAATGCTTGGGTCATTGGCCTTGTATCCGTTCACAGAGTTACTTGGGTACGTAAGACGCGAACGCTTCAAGCATATCCAATTTCGTACTAGACTTGGCAATGTTGACTTTTAGCAGCATGACAATCACAGAATTTCACGTCCTAGTAGCGCAAGCTAGAGCAGAGGCTAGTAGTCCAGCACTCAAGGTGAGAACCCAATACTTCCCTTAAAGCTCGAATAGCCATAGCGGAATGTGGATAACGCTGATAAGTATTATTGTAAAACGGCAGCCGTATTTCCGAATGTAAGTCGTCCCGTTCTAAGCCCCTGGCGAAAGTATGGCAATATGAGGTTCTGACGAGTAACTATTCAAGATATGTATGCGCCGGCAGGAAACCGAGGCGCTGAGGTCATCGGGCGACTGTGGTATTGGATTCTCGCGGAAGTGGATCCTTTTTTGACTTGGTAGCATGGGATAAGGACGGGCCACACCAGCCGAGGACCGGCATCGTGTCGCTTGATCATTCGAGAATTCAAGGTAAAAGAGAGGAAAAGGGAAAGGGATAGAACATGGCTAGGTCAGAGGAAGGGGCAGGGAATTGTTGTACAGAGATGGTTGTGGGGCGTTCCGGTGACGTTGGAATGATGTTGTCTACATACAATTTCGGCCAGGACAAGCTTCTTTTTGCACTTTTCCGTCGAGCGATCCACATATAACGGCATGGCTGCATTTATAGAGTTGATATTGGCATACAAGTATCCAGGGGGCTCAATGTTTATTTGGGGTTTGTTGTTGAATGGTATCTAGAAGACTTGCGAGTATGGGTATATGTGATGCTTGTAATCCCTGGATGGCAGTGGTAGTGGGAAGAGGGGAGATAATGATGGAAGGTGAAGAAGGTTAAAGAGAGGAACAAGAGGAAACGGGAAACAGGGAACAAGAAATAGGAAAGAGGAAAGAGGGAAAGAGGAAGGGGAGGATTTTGTGGGTGGAAGAAGGTTGGGAAGGAAAGGGTAGGCAAGGGAAAGGGCAAGGGAAAGGGCAAGGGAAAGGGCAAGGACAAAAGAGGTCAGCTTAAGGTTTGCAGGCCAAAAGGAAAGTAGCAAATCATGGGATCTCCCTTGCTCCTTCTTACCAGAGTGTCGGTTCCAACTTGTCGGGTCGTGTCACGGGCGTGTCAACCCAATCAAGGAATAATACTAGGTAGTAGATACCCATCAGGTACAGTACCTTCCGTGCCCAACCCCCATCTTCATTCCCTTAGCACTGCTCTTGGTCAATCTTCCCAATGTTCCCATCTACATACATGTACTACATAGGTAAGTATATGCTTCAATGTTCTAGGATATTGAGGTGCCTACATACGTAGGAGTATATATACATGCCTATATGTATAGGTATTGGCGTTCAATGTGATAATATGAACACATGTGCAACATTAATGTAATTCCATACATGTAATTCTATAAAATAAAATAAAAATGTCACCGTTACCCGTAATTTGGTTATACATATCTAACACGTAGGTCGCTAATCTTGACTGGTCAACTTTGAAAGACATGCCCCGTTAGGTCATGTAAGTATATGTATGTACGGGCGGCTAGCTAGAGCCGCTGTCAACGGACACCCTCCCCCTTTGATCGCATCCTGCATGATCGCTTCAATAATGCTGTCCCAACTCCTGCCAACTTCAATGTTACTCACTATCTACCTAGACCCTAAGCTAGGTACTTACTACTTACATACCTAGTCGTGGGCGGACCAGCTATCCTGTGGGCCACCCCCGGCCTTGTTTGTCCTGCTTGTAAAACCTACTTCATAAATGCCGGCGTGTTCAAGAACTCCGGGGAGGGAAAGAGGTCAGGCTACCCTACCAAATATTATATCGAAGGGGGGGCAAGACAACCTCGACTGTTGTCCACAAGGTTACAACGACGATGTGGCAAGAGACTGCGAAAGATAGCTACACGAAGGTGTGTGTAACTTTGCGTGTACGAAGTATGATTATTATTATAAGACCCTAGCCGGGCCAGTCGCGGGAAAAAGCTCGTCGTGCTTGGGGCTCGATTAGGCATTGGGACCGCATTGGGGAACCTTTCTGTGTTACCCCCATTCCGAAGTCCCTTTTTCTCTAACCTAGTGCGAAGGCTCAATGTGATTTGATTATCTCAATGTTGATTACCAACCTATTCAGGTAATAGTACCCTACTAAATATACGTGACCTGTGTAACGAAGCGGACGCCAAGTGGGAAACCGTTGGGCTGCTCGCTGTACGGTAGTGGGCAGTGGACCCCTAGACCCTACCGCGGATGTAGATGCCCATCCCGACCCTTGCGTCGCGATAGACCATCTCGCTGCAATTACCTGTCAGGTGACATTTACCAGATCCCTTTGCTATCTAGTATGATGTATGTATATAATACATGCACTTTATTTTGAAAACCGTGATGAAAGGGTTTGGTATATCCATGTTGTACCTAAACACGTCGGATTAAACCCGACCGTCGATCATAGCAGCCTGCCCATTATAGGTATGGGAGACATGGAGTAAAACAAGACGGGTGCAATATCCCAGCAACCAGGTCTGCCTGAGTTGATCTAGGCTATTATTGTAAGTGATAAGAGCTTGATTAAAGACAAGTTCAAGTTAGTAGTTCCAAGAATATTTTATATTAGATATTATTAGATATTTAACATGTGAAATGAATGATGAATGCTGAAGCCTTTTAGTTCGATATTCCAATGTAGTATAATATTTTCCAATTGAAATATCACTATAAAAAGGCTCTCCCCTATAACGCAAACAAATAAGAAGTTAAAAAAAATTAAAATGGGTTGAACGGGCTGAATTGACCAATGGGAGATGTCCCTAAACCTCAGCACACCTTACGCCGATCGTGATAATTTAATAATTTGGGACCACAACTTGGAACTCATACCCTTCCAAACCTTCAAAGCTCAAAAAACCACTTTAAACATCCCGAGATCTACCCCGGTTTGCCCGTGCCGCCTACGCATTGTAACATACCAGCATATCTATGATAGTCGCTTAAATTAAAAATCAACTGACACACCAGCCTTCCCCCCCCCTCCCCCCCTCCCCTGATTTCGTCACGTTCGAGAAACACCATGGCGGCCTTACGACCTTCCTTCCGCATCGCGGCGCGCCTATCCCAACGAGCGCACCACCTCGGAGCAGCAAGAGCAGCAGTAGCAGCGCCTCGCCTCCTACGATGTAACAACCCGCGCCCCTACTCCACCGCCGAAGTCGAGGCCGCCCCGCCAGTGCCGCCGCTGCTCCAGAAACTCCGGGCCGACCTCAAGACAGCCAGTACGTTCGCCCTTGTTCTTCTCTTGGCCACCCCCACCCCTACATTAATTAATTAACCCACGCCCCCCTTGCAGTGCGCGCAAAGGACGCCCCCCGCCTAACCGCGATCCGCACGATCCTCGCCCTGACGCAAAGCGCCGCCAAGAGCTCCGAGCCCATCACCACAGACGCGCAGCTCGTCGGGCTGCTGAAGAAATCCTCGCGCGCCGCCTCCGACGCCTCGGCCGAGTTCGCCGCCGCCGCGCGCCAGGACCTCGTCGACAAGGAGGAGGCGCAGAGGGCCGTGTACGACGAGTACATCGCGTCGAGCGGCGTCGCGAAGGTCTCCGAGGCGGAGCTGCGCGCCGTCGTGGACCTGGCCGTCGTCGAGGAAGGGGGGGCAGAGAAGAAGCCGCGCATGCCCGCCCTCCTGAAGGTGCTCATGGCCCCCGGGGGCCCGCTCGACGGCAAGGACTACGATAAGGCGGTGCTGGTCAGGATTGTGAAGGAGGTACTGGAGAGCTAGCCGACGAATGAATGAATGAATGAATATCCTACTCAAAAAGGAAGGAGAAAGAGAGAGAGAGAGAGTTAACTTAGCTACCGGGAGAACTAAACAAGATCTCCTTTGCGAATGGGGAGCAATACGAGCGAGCGCCGGTGTACTTGGATTCAGATACGACGAGATATACTTGACCTACCTTACCAACCTACCTAACCTTGAGTAGGTACGATGTATGTATCACGTGTACACGAACACTCTGTACGATTTCGACGAAAAAAAAAAAAGAAAAACACCATCTTCACTCATCCAGAGACACGAGAGAAAGAATTCTAGCGTTTGCGCATCCAAACTCTTCCCCTCCTTGTCTCCCTCCCCGCAGAAGTACAGTACTGCTGATTACTTGCTACCTTATCTATTGCCCTGCGTGACTAAAAAAGCAATTCATAAGACATTAAACATTATGTAAGGTTTGCTCTGCTTTACTACGTAGAACGGAGTAGACTCCGAAGCGGTGAGTGCGTTGACAACGATGATCATTCCGTCATTGCCTTAGCTACACGGTCTAGAACTCTCTCTCGAGATCTGCCTACACTAATCACATAGCTATGAAGTGGAGGAGGGTGATACATCAATACAACATTAAGCAAGAAGAGGTCCCCAAAAACGCAAACGCATGGACTTCCAAACCGGACAGAAGAACATATTGGAACTCGTAATTCTAGAAAGTATTCGTAATTTCTTCAAGGTATCTCTTTGCACTGCGTAACTGTAACTGACGGCTGTGCCTCTCTCTCTCTCTCTTTGCCCTATGCCAACAGTTTGTTTTTGTCATCTCATCACCTAAAAACGCCTTTCATACACCTAAGCTTTAAAACCTCAAAAAGCCTTAAGCCTCAGTCGGAAAAAACAACAACAACACCCTGCTTAAGTCGACACATGCCATGAATTATTATTCCCATAACTGACTGATTCGGGGATCCCTACTAAGGAGCGAATTCTTCCTCGGTGTTACGAGGACCCGCAAACTCAGTACCCTGATTAGCAGTCGCCAGTCTCGCGCACAAACTCAGAAGAACCACGGTCTCGGTTGCTGCGTAGTGGTTCAATGCATCCAGGAGGATTTGCAGATGCCGACTAAAGTTCTTCTCCCAATTCCTAATGATTTCAAACAAGTTGGTAATCCGCGTCTCCTCATCTTGAAGGGTACTATTTGCCCCATTATCGGCATGGGACTTTTGAGATTTCATGGTCTGGAACCTTTTCCATTCCTTATCGGTCATGTTGGGTGGTTTGATGGGGCCGATCAAATCCGGGTCAGATTTCTCGAGCTCGCGGGACAGCCAGTTCATGTGAGCAGCAAAGACAGTACAAGTCTGCATTAATTTTGAGTGGATCTGATATATGACATGTAAGTATTCATACTCCAGTTGCAGACAAGTTAGGGACCACTTACGCGAATGAGCTTGCCATTGGTTAGCATGCAACCTTTCAGACAGGTGTCTAGGAAATCCACATGATCCTGCATCAACTCGTCCACGGTTCGGTCAGGCTTCCCTGACCCATCCAAACTTCCGTCCTTGGCTTTAAGTCTTGACATTAAAGATTGCCAGTTGGGCTCGATGACCTCCAAAGTGCAGAAATAGAGTAGCTGTTGGACGAAGACGATCATCCTAGCCCTTAGAGTCCACACGCGCCTCTTCCAGATCTCAAGACGCCTTACCGATGACTTGTGACACCAGACAACACCGGTGTTGTGGGTTTGCCATGTAGTCGATAGTTGTGACTCGAGATATCTTAGTGATAGAAGATATCGAAATAATGCTTGGTATCGCCACACTGTTTTTCGGCTGATCACTAAGGACACAGGAAATGGTACATTGTAATCGAGTTGCAACGACGTAAACCCGACGGCATTCTTATCGTTCTCGATGGGTTGATTGTTAAGGGGTTGTAGCGCCTCTCCTGGCTCAATACCCGTGATATTGACGACGCGCTGCAACATCTTGATGAGACTGACTTCGTTCATCTCAACATGAACGTCCTCTTTAAAGGGGTCCATCGATACAATACTCCCTGGTTGGCGTAGCACGAGATCGAGTAGCGACTGCAGCTTGACGATATTAACAGACTTCACTGGTTTTCGCAATTCCGACGCACCGAGTTCCATAAAATAGGTAAAATAGTCGGATGGATCCAGGAAAAAGTAATGCTTCAAGGATCGTAGCCTTGCGGGAAGAGCATGGGTGGTCAAAAGCAACTTCATAAGCGACTCGTTTGCGTGAGCGTAGGCGTTGTTGACGTTGTCGAGGAATCGTAGATCATCAAAGGATTTGGGAACGTCTTGGGCGACCTTGCTAACATCAACTCCTCCACATTCCCGCACAACGTTGAGATATTTTCCTGCGAGTAGAACCTTGTCTTTGACGCCCTGTAACTGTGGAGGTATGCCGTGTTCTCGAATGGTATATCTCCTTTCCCAATAGTCGTCGGTGTAGTCTTGTTCCAACCTATCTCGCTTGATACTTTTCTGCTCCTTGATAAGAAATTCGGAATGGGGGTCCCTAATTTCGCCATGGTGCAACCATTCATTCAGCATTGCCATGTATGGCCGGCTCGCATCCCGTAGTAGAGATGTTAGCAGCGATCTGGCAGCAGGATCCCCTGACATGTCTTCCAATCTTTTACTGATTAGTCCTATGACCACGCCGCCCTTGCAGACCTTTTTCCCTGTCATATTTCCTGGAACAAGGTCTCCACCGCGTTTCAGGTTCTCTAGGATGTTGTCGATATCATCGGGATCCGAGTCCTCCTCGCTCTCGTCGTCCAAAAGGGCATTTCTCTTCAGAAATTCGTGAGCCAAGGAATAAAGCTGGAACATCATCTGACTCGTGGGAAGTGTATGGACATTGAGGAGATGTAAAGTGAAGGTATCATTTGTCAAGAACTGAGTCTCAAGTTGAGCGACCATGACTAGATAATCATGCAAAAGCTTTCTGATGGCGGCACATAGAGCATGGTTAACGGCACCGAATTCTTCCCTGCTTTGTACATCAACAAAGGTTTCGAGAGCTGAGTAGTGCGTAGCCATCTTTAGCATGGACACGGTTAGGTCCTGTAGACTAGGGTCGAGTCCTGGAAGTATCTTGAATTCAGGACCGGCCAGCCGGTCCCTTTCCTCATTGGGGTCATACGAGTAGGCATATCGAATATACTGGCCCTCATATCCCATAAAAACAAATAATAAATCCTCAATTATGGCCGCCTCCTGGGCTTCAAGGGATAGCTCGTGAAGGGGCTGGGGCTGGAGGTTGGGTGGTGCTGTCGACGCCGAAGGAGGTATCGTTACACGAATCGCGAGAGGTGCAGACGTGTGAGGTGTTAAATTAACTATTGGATCCCATACTGCTATAAGTAGTTATGCCATGTCAGTTAAAACTCGGCAGGTACTAGTTGCTGCTATGTAGGTAGGTAGGTAAGTAGGTAGGAGTGAAGTGTGGCATATACATACCAGGCGGCGCGTCAGGTTTCGTCGTTTCCTTGGGCTTAGTTTCGGACTGGCGACGTTTAGGGGGTTCTTTCGGCCGCCACTTTTCTGGAGGGGGCGCATCCTTGGACCGTCTCTCAGCACTTCGAGTACGCGACATTAACTTCTCTTTCGTGGTGATAGTCATGCGCTCAGTCCTTCGCTCTTCGATGTTCTTGCTAGCCGGTCGGGGATTCCCTGATGCAGTGCGTTTGTGAGCAGGATTGGTAAAAGAACCTTGTGGAGAGCGAGTAGATCGCTGATCTTGCTGGGAACTTCTTGAAGAAGACTGTCCACTGGCACCAGCAGCACCAGCGGCGGCGCGGGGTCGCGGGTTGCTATCATTATCGCTGGTACCGTTTGTGCGCCTCTCTGGATAATTGGAGACTCTTGAGGACATGGTCACGGGGCGGCGACATTGGGAACGCCTGATAGGAGCGATATCATGAGATGTGGGTTGGATGGTTGTTGTTTGTATGGATTTAGGATGGAGAATGGAGAATACAATCTGATGTTCAGTATTCCAAGAATACGTACGTATAGATGGGTAATGATATGTACCTGACGAAGTTAAAATGTTAAGGTTATTACTAGTAGTATGTACCTAACCTGGGTATGCAGCTACTACCTTACTGTGTGTTTAGGTGGTAAATGATCCAATAATATTCCAAATTTAGGCTTTATCGATAATTCCAAAGTCGCGTCAGATAACAAGGTATTGTACACACTAATAGCTGATACTAGCGGTACCCAACATTGAAGGTACCAGTCGCGTTTCCCTAGCGCAGTTACATCGGAAACCACTACGCTTATCGATATTCAACTAACCAGGAATTATTAAATTTAGGTAATTAAGAAGTTAATTAAGAAGTTAAAGATGTTGAAGCATGGTGGTCAAAGCTTTTTTTAACCGCTACCAATCCAATCCATAGCTGCGTAAACGGTAGCAGCCTTGAGAGCAGCAAGCTTCTAGTAGCACGAGAGCTTCTGTACCTTCCATTAACTAGTTATTGTATTGCACTGTACAATACCTACTAGCAACCTCGTCCTCTCAACTATCAACCCTACTCCTACTCCCAAGCCTACTTCTACGCCCCTCGATCATAATACCACCATAAATCCAATTTCATAACAAGGAACCCTCATAAATCCTTCAAGATGTTTATGGCAAGATCTGAATATGGTAAGGCAGCATATCCCAAACTTGGATCCCTTCAAGTCAGTAGCTAATCGCAAACAGACCGGGGTATCAAGTACGGCCGCCCTCCCTCTCAAAAGCTACCCATCCGCCCCTCCACTCTGCCAACCAACCTAGGATTATGTACGCAGAATACTAACTCCATGTTCCAGTACCTTCTCCCCGGAAGGCCGTCTCTTCCAAGTCGAATACTCCCTCGAGGCTATCAAGCTCGGCTCGACGGCCATCGGCGTCGCAACGTCCGAGGGTGTGGTCTTAGGCGTGGAGAAGCGTGTGACGTCTACCCTGCTCGAGACGTCATCCGTCGAGAAGATTGTCGAGATCGACCGACATGTCGGGTGCGCCATGTCCGGCTTACAGGCCGACGCCCGCAGCATGGTCGAGCACGCCCGCGTCGAGTGCCAGAGCCATGCGTTCAACTACAACGAAAACCTGCGCGTCGAGAGCTGCACCCAGGCCATCTGCGACCTGGCCCTCCGTTTCGGCGAGAGCGCCGATGGCGAGGAGAGCATCATGAGCCGACCCTTCGGCGTCGCCCTCCTCATCGCCGGCTACGACGAAGACGGCCCTCAGCTCTACCACGCTGAGCCTAGTGGCACCTTCTACCGATACGACGCCAAAGCTATTGGCTCTGGAAGCGAGGGTGCCCAGGCCGAGTTGCAGAATGAGTACCACAAGGTCAGTCTCTCCTTTCTTTTTCTTTGTCTATCCATATATATACATGCACGTATCCATGGACACTATTAACTTACGACCCCAACACAGTCCCTTACAATCGAGGACGCAGAGACGTTAGTCCTAAAAACGTTGAAGCAGGTGATGGAGGAGAAGTTAGACTCTAAGAACGTGCAGCTAGCGAGCGTTACCAAAGAGCGGGGCTTCAGGATATACACGGACGAAGAAATGGCCAAGGTCGTCGAAAGACTACCTGCGAATTAAGGGTGCAGTTAGTATAGAGAGGAAACCTTGTTACAGAATTATGACATGACAGCAGCAAAGCACGATTAGAAGATGAGAAAGGGGGTCAAATGGAATGTTTACCTACCTACCATCTCAGTAGCTCAACCCTTCTTAGGCACTGACTGGACTTGATGGCCAGCTAGCTAGCTACGCACCCTTTAAAGCTGGTCAATAATATCATGAAGAAGAAATAAACGTGTTACATGATCAATGCAACTATCTCGTACTAACAATTATCATATCCCCCCTCGTCCCTAGCTAAGTTTTTGAGTATATACATATTTTTTTCCATATGCGACGGACCAGAAACAAATCCTTGGTATATTTTTTTCCGTTCCTTTTTTTTCTTTTTGACTCCTGATGAAATGAAAAATCTAATCCATACAAGCACCTGCTACTACCTACCTATCTACCTACCTACCTACATAACTCTAGCACCTAATCATATAGCATCGCATTAACCGGACTAACCACGCCCCCTTTCCTTTCCTTTCCTCTCATTTCTTTTCGTCTCTCTCTTCAAATCATCATCCTAATCCTACTCTTCCATCCTTCCATCCGCCCCACTCACATCAACGAACAAGCCAGCCCACCCACCCGTGATCTAATCCTACATCCTACACACACAAAAAAAAAAAAACGTAAACCACAACCCCACACCCATACCCCCCCCCCCCATCTTACCGCCTATCCCTCTCACTAGTCTCCAAATCCAGCTTCTCCAGATCATGCTCGACGGCCAACAGCCCCATCGCGTAGGACGCCTTCTCGCCCTTGGCCAGCACGATCTTCGTGTCGTCGTTCTCCACCTCCTGGATCCTCTTGTCGATGCGCCTCGCCACCACCCACACGGAGCCCGGGGGGTCGAGGTTCAGGTTCACGGCTCGGGTGTAGGGGGGGCCGCGCCCCAGCTGCGCGGCTTTGGTCCACGAGGACTCGCAGCCGACGGCGATCTGCCGCGCGGACTGCCACCCGGTCAGGCGCGCGATGTCGTGGAGGCGTTGGATCAGCCATTGCCGTTGGGGGTTGTCGTGGTACTGTGGAGTGTGAGTTTCAGGCGCTATAAAAGGGGAAAAGGGTACTCACCTGTATACCCGCCACAAACAGCGGAAAGCAGCACTCGATTAGCGCCGCCGCCATCAGCGTGCTCACGCTGCTCAGCTGCTCTATATTCTCCTCGAGCCCCGCCGCAATCCGCCCGACCTCCAAGCAGTACGGCGCCGTCGTCCTCGCGGAGATGCCGGCGGCGACCATGGCGACGGGGGGCATGGTGGGGTGGGCGCGGTGCAGGACGATGAGGCCCATGTAGTAGTTCATCCAGATGCCGGCGATGGAGTAGGTGCGGTAATGCGCGGCGCGGCCGAAGGGCGTCGCCTTCGCCGGGTACACGTCCGCGCCCAGCGGCTCGAACTCGGGGCCGAAGTGCTCCCGCAGCGCCGCGAACGCCTGCTCGATCTCCTCCCACTCGCGGTACGCGTCCGCTGTCTTGGTGTCGATGTCCACGGGCTCGGCACCGGGTCCGTCGGCAGGCGGCGATGTCTCGCGGGGTGGGGTGAAGCCCATTGGTACGGTGACGCGCTCCGGGTGCCGGGGCACCATGCCTGGGAACATGCCCGGCGAACCGCCGCGTCCGGGGCCGTTCGCTTTTAGGACTTCGCGTTTGCGGCTTAGGTCTTTGGATGTGAAACTGGCTAGGCGGCCGAGGAGAAGGACTAGGTGGTCGTAGGTGCCATATCTAACAACAAATAATTAGAATTACATTGGCGCAAAAGAGGGTTAGTCTTATAGTATAAACTTACACAGCGTCGAGTCGGCCTATCGGCGCTCTAGGGGGGCATTGAGCCCATGCGTTGTATTCCAAGCTTTATTTTTGTTGTTAGTAAGACAATACCACATCCTGTCCGCAAGAAGATGTGTGGAAACTTACAAAAGTCGGGTTCCACCCAAGATACTCTGGTAAACATCCATCTTACAGTACCACCAGAACAGGTCGCTCAGTTGCTCATACCTCTCCATATCCTTTTCCGTGAACTCATGTCTCGACCCGTGAAACGCGCCTTGGTCATCGAGGTTCATGCCCAGCTCCTCGTACGTCATTTCGCGGCCCATTATCGTGGATAGCAGCTGTACGTTGATGAGGTCCCAGTCCTTATTTAAGGGGCTGGAATCTTCGTATGAAGCGAACATCCCGAAAGCATCCATTGGCGGCTGTTGCAGGTCCTGCATTCTCTGTTGTATTTTGATCCTCATCATGGTACGAGTCATCTCGGCATACGGTATTTCTTTGATGATCAGCCTCGCGCCCAGCAGATGCCTGCTCCACTTGTCGTGATCCGAGTTCCATACTTCGTAAAACGCCAGTACTAATGTCGCCGCTAGATTCGACGGTTGGGCGCGCCTGTTCGGCCGACTGACGTTCCGTGCGATTCTTCTCAGAGCTAGGTGGTAATGTTTGAGGGACGCTGTCGGCGGCACACTTTGTAGTTTTGCGATCTGCAAGCTCGCGATGGCAAGTATAGAATGCAGTAGAGCTGGGTGAGTAAAAGATAAAATTGGAAATGTATCTGCACATGTTAGTCGAGGCAACTGGCGCAGATCACGTAGTAGACTTACAGGTCCATATATGCTGGAAGGACCTCGGTATAGGTTGCCCCTCAAAAATCGAGGAGGGATCAAAAGGATGCCTTTCATACAAAGATATACTGGGTCCGGTTACGTTCACAAAGTGCCAAAATACGGCTGCTATGCGTTTATCGTTTAGAGGCGAATTGGCTGGCGACGGCTCGTAAGTTGCGAGGAGATTCTCGGGCGCGAAGGCCGAGAACGTTCTGGTTTGAGTCTCGAACCTGTCATAGGGTTGCTGGAATGCGACGACTCCGAGCTCGTTGAAGTCAAGGGAAGTGCGCCGTTCATTAATCGGCACATCATCTGACTCCGCCATAGACTCATCGTCTGATACCGGATATTCCCAATCCACATCCTCAGGTAAAATATCTGGAGCGTGGACTGGTATTTCGATCTCGGCACGAGCTTTGCCTTTGTCTATTTGAGAACTGTTGGTTGGTTGTTGCGGTATAATAGGGATAGGGGGGACATTCTGGGCAAGATCCTCAGAGGTGACCGCTGCAAACTGATCACCAAAATTCGGAGGCGGATCTTGCCTCCATTGGGTTTGAGAGAATGCCTCGACAGTGGTCGGTGTAAAGAACCTATACTTTGACGGCCCGGGTTGGGCCTCAAACCCGCTCGGATCAAAGTTCAAAGGAGGCGATGTAGTTTGTCCAGCCGGCCCTGGATAGGCATGACTAAACTGAATTCCCGAAAGCGGATGATATCCTACAGGTGGAGGTTTAGGGGCGATTATCGGCAAAGACTGAGATGAAGCTTTCTGCTGCGCTGCCGATAACTGTTGCTCTCTTACCAAGGCCTGAGGAGACGGCGTGGGAAAATGAATCGGCCCAAACGAGGCGTTGGAGAATGCGCCGAGGGGGTCCTTGAAAACAACTCGTTGATTATACCCATCGCACTGCCGTTTCGATTTCAAGCAATTGGCACATGTCGGCCTTGCCTCGTCACACTTTATTCGACGCCTTCGACAAGCTTGGCGATAGTTAGCCCGCACAGCGCAGAGACCAGGAAGTCCAGTCAAGGTAACAGGGGAGGATTTCTACATACTAAGACAGCCTGTTTTGGTTCGCTTCCGGACGACAGGTTTTTTGGTCTCTGGATTATCGTCATCCTTCTCTTCTGGCGTTGGTGGTCGAGCGAGCTGAGGCTGAGTTTTCGTAGAACCGTCGCCAGACGGCTCGTCTATAGAATCCATCACGATGAACCGCCCGGTTGCCACGTAATATAAATTTTTGGGGCTGTAACCCTGGAGTTGATTGTGCTGCGGTCTTGCGATTTAAAGAGTGTCAAGCTGTCACATGGTATTTGGATGGTAGGCCCGATTTGGGTCTAGGAGAGTACCGACTACAGAATCGCGCCGAGCATGCTCCCAGTCCAGGATTTGCCGGTTGTTCCACGCGAATAGCACCTACGATATGACAGCCCCTCGATGCCCTGTCTACCCAAGAATTGAGTGCCAGAAACGAGTTATGGCATTATGGTTCCGGCGGTTTAGATTGGCTAGTAGGATAGGATGAGGCCTTCAATGCGGATGTGAGAATACTAGGTTATGTACTTTCAGAACACACGGCGAGATTAATGACACGACCTGCTTCCCATATAGCTTATATCGTCCCGTGAAACATCTGGTGTAACAAATTGGGATCGGAATATGCTTGTTGGCGTGGATAATTGGGGAGTCAACCCTCATAAGAGTAGGACAAGGTGTGACATGGGAAATATGAACTGAGGGTAGGTGGTGTAGGTGGCGATGCCTAGGCCAAGACGGGATGGGATGTATATTCAGCGGAGATGCTATAGAAATACGGTAGTATAATATTATTACCAAGTATGTTGAATACCTACCTACTAATATATAGGTATCTTGAATAGCTATACATACTCAACGGAATGTTACTAACACGGGATGGGGGGGACAATGGGGGCTTGGGAGTAGTGGGGTTTAAATAGATATTGGCAATGAGAGTACCAATAAGAAGGCAATCCGCGGAATCCTGACAAGGATGATATGCGCTGGTAAGAGTGGATTAGTTCATAGGTCTCGGCGAGGCCTGGTAAGAGGTCCGGCGAGACTCGAATCCTGTAGCATTATTGGACATATCCAATCTAGTTCAGCTTTTGTGTGGAGTGAGATGCCTGTGAATTAGATCCGGCTGCAATAATAGATCCAATCCTAGACTATAAAAACTGACCGTCATCCACTTACTCCAAGACTAGAGCATACCTAACTTGAGGCACATTTTGACCAGCTTGGATCCTTGGGAGTGTGCGGTGAGAATGTATGTAAATGGAAACGGAGATGGAAATGGAAGCCCGTAAGGTGCAAACCGACAAGGAAGACCCCGTACCAGTTGAAGAGTCAACAGGCCATACACAAACGGGTTTGTTCTTCAATTGGACTAGGTATCTAGGTAGGTATGGCTTCGTCGGCGACTAAGAAAATGCCCTCATATTTCTTACCACCCTATTCCTTGAGCTGAGCAAGCAAGTAGGTAGTAGGTAGGTAGTATGCAGTATGATTGCGGGAATGAAGCAGTCAAAATGCCGTAGTAGCCGTAACCGAATGCTGTATCCCCTGTATCGTATGGGATTTGCAGGTACTGTACGGGGATGGTAAGAATGGTAAGAATGGTAAGAGTGCTGCTAGATAGTACCTGGGTAGGTACCTATCAGATATCTACCTACCTTGTAGGTATATGTAGTAGGTATATGTAGTAGGGTCCGTGAAGCTGCATACAGCCACAGTCGCTCAAGTTACGGTAGATCGAAGTGCGACATCTGGTATGTGCGCGCAACTGGGCATCCACCCCCTGCAACTTGAGTCTCCCCCAGAAACTGACCTCGGAGAGCCAATCGCTGACACAGTTCACCCGTGATACCGAAAACGCACATCTTTTGCAGTAACGACAAATCGTCCTACATATAGGCCACTTCTTGTTGGCCGACCATCAAATTTGCACATCCAGACAGTTATAACAACATTTGAAGAGTAAGCTCGCTCGCTTGTGTAGCCAGCTGCACAAACGTCTCTGGCTTCTCACATGAGACCCGAGGCAGATGTGATATCCTAAAGAGCGTGTGGGAGAGACACCCGCCACCTTCAGATACCTATATGAGCCTGTGAGCAAAGATAATCCCACTCCTCAGAGATCAGAGGATTGTTTATGGCTTGAAGCTTTGATGCATGTTCGTGTTTCATTCCACGGCTTCGTGAAGTACGCGGCATAACATCATCAGGTCAACGTGCCGAGGGTAGTCAAGCCTTATCATGGGCCATTTTCAACGCAACTCGAAACTAGACACCAAACTTAGATTGCGTAAAGCAAAGAACGGGCATGGAAGCATTACCCGCGTGTCTCGGGAGGGCAGGTCTCAAGCCCTTTCCGGTTGACGCAGAAAGCGCATGGCAAAGCTGCTTGTGCAGCAGAAGTCGTCGAACATGACCACGACGATGAGCCGTACGTATACAACAACAGAGTCCAGGGCCTCGTTGCCACAGCAGAGACACTGTCTCGCAATGCAGGATATGTGATGCTTTATCCCGTGACCCCGCGCAGATGCAGAGTAAAGTACACCGGTGCGCCCCATCATGTCGACTCATTGCAATGATGTATTAAGTTAGACCGTTGAGGCTATTGATGCCTACCTAGGTAGGATGAAGCGGATAGGGACATGAACTCTTTAGCTGGGAAATCTGCGTTTACTGAAGCAGTGCGCAGGAGTATTCAATGTCACACTGCAGTGGTTAGAGAAAATAGGAAAATTGCGATATCGTCACCTACAGACTACAACCCATTCATTCTATCCAAATAGATGGACGAAGAAGTGTTAGTCAACTGATATCAGCCCCAGGAGGCATTGTCGTATGCTACCCAACTGTCGTGTGACAGTCGATCCCACGTAGAAAGCCCCGATCTTCCTTTTTCTTCCTCCTCCTTCTTCTTCTTAAAATGGGAGCTGGGTAGCCGTGTCGATTCGGTTTAAGATTCCTTCACCAGGACCATTGCCACACGATACCTGTCTATCCACATTGACCTATTACAATGTATCCGATAGGGTAGATTGAAAGATTGGGTGGCCGTTTGGGTGGCCGCCGTTAACAGATGTAATGAAACGACCAAATAAATCACAACAGGACTGAGTAGGTTCTAAACTCTAGTAGTATGTTGGAAAATGGACCTTGATGGTACTATTGAAGAATCAGATATTCAATGTTGCAGCGGCAATTATTTTAATTTCTTCTATGTACTTAGACGATTTGGATATTGACATGGAACTTTAACTACTAGGTAACTACAGCTTGACCATCTCACGTGATCATTCTATAGCGCTATGCGCTATGTATTGTGGATCACCCCGCTATACTCATAGGTACCTAGGTACCCTAACTAATCCCTGCAAAAAAGTTTCGTAGTACCTAGTATTCTTTTTTTCAACTTTCTTAAAGCTTAACGGACCTTTTTTTTTTTTTTCATCCATGGATATTTGTATTTACTAAAAGACATCAACTTTTTGCACGTTCACATTCACGTAAACCAAAGGAGCATTGCTATTAAAATTAGAATTGTTCTAAAACACTCTCAAATATGTTTGCGGTACCCGGTTGGGCAGTGTCTGCGGACACTCTAAAACCGGAGAAAGCAGTGGTGGCATCCAAACCAGCGGCGGCGGCAGCAGCGAAACCAACAGCAGCAGCCGACCAGGAAGATCCCAACCTGAAGAAGCGCAAGAGGCCATCTGGGCCAAACGTCAACGCTTCCAACGTTGCAGATCTTTATGAGCGGGTGATTGAAGGACGATCAGAGAAGCGGCCCAGGCCTGACAAGCGCCAGGGTGGTGGTAGTGAGGCAAACGGTTTCAGCGGCACGGATGGCAAACCAACAACAGACCGTCCGAAGAAAGTGACGTTGAAGGAGAAGAAGAAGCTATGGAAGGCGAGGCTTCTGCTGGAAAGTCAGGAGGCCGCTGATCAGGGCAAACCTACGGATGGCAGTAGTAAAAAGTCACCTGACACTGCACCGGCGAAGAACGAAAAGAACAAGAAGTCTTCGAAAGCCCCGGAAGGAAAAGACGCAGGAAAAGCCAGCCAGGTGTCTGCCCCTCCGGCACCAGCATCAAAATTGACGCCCTTACAAGCCGCGATGCGCGAAAAGCTCGTGTCGGCTCGGTTCCGCCATCTCAACGAGACGCTCTACACCAAACCATCCACCGAGGCGTTCGAGCTGTTCCAGGACTCCCCCGAGATGTTCCAGGAGTACCACGAGGGGTTCCGGCGGCAAGTCGAGGTGTGGCCGGAGAACCCCGTGGACGGGTACATCAAGGACATCAAGCTGCGGGGGCGGCAGAAGCCCCCCCAGCGATCCCGCAATAATAACGGGCCCACCCCCACCGGCGGCATCGCTCCCCTACCACGCACCAACTACGTCTGCACGCTCGCGGACCTGGGGTGCGGCGACGCCAAGCTGGCCGAGTCGCTGCAGTCCGAGAAGAAGAAGCTGAAGCTCGACATCCGCAGCTACGACCTGCAGAGCCCGAGCGCGCTCGTCACCAAAGCCGACATCGCCAACCTGCCCCTCGACGACGGCAGCGTCAACGTCGTCGTCTTCTGTCTCGCCCTCATGGGCACCAACTGGCTCGACTTCGTCGAGGAGGCCTACCGCATCCTGCACTGGAAGGGCGAGCTCTGGGTCGCCGAGATCAAGAGCCGCTTCGGCCCCCTCGGCGGCAAAAGCAACCGCAACGGCGCGCCCGTCGACCACAGCGTCGGAAACCGGCGAAAGGCCCCCCCACCAGGCGGAAGAAAGGGCAAATCCAAGGACGGAGAAGGGGGCGCCGGTGAGGAGAAAGAAGAAGCCGCGGCGCTGGCCGTCGAAGTCGACGGCGCCGACGACAAGCGCGACGAGACCGACGTCTCGGCCTTCGTCGAGGCGCTGCGCAGGCGCGGCTTCGTCCTGCAGGGCGACGTCGACCTGCAGAACAAGATGTTCGTCAAGATGCACTTCCTCAAGGCCGCCGCGCCCACCGTCGGGAAGTGCGTTGATCACACAAAGGAACCCCCTGCTCCTCCTGCTCGTGGGGCTGGGGCTGGGGCTGGGCATGGGCCGAGGAGGAATAATCCCGTCAAGTTCATCGATGCGGAGAGGAGTGCGCAGGACGAGAGCGCTATTTTGAAGCCTTGCGTGTATAAGCTGCGTTAATAATAACAATAATAATAGGGGTACTACGTAGCTAACAGGGAGGCATTTCTGTATCGTATGTATCTGAATGCTGTCCATACAAACCTAGGTACCCAGTATGTAGTAGGTAGGCACCTATTCATAATACCAAAGCTAGAAACATACCAACAGCAGCAGATAGACAAAACCCCTAGATAGAATCCTAGAAAATTCTAATGTGTAACGACTTAAAGTTCAGAACTTTCAATGTTCCTTTTTTATTTTTCCCTAATTTGTAGAGTGCAATTATATACCTAGCTCGATGATCTCTCTGTGAAACCCTCTTCTTCCAGGAGAAACAGTAATGCAAAGGTGTTTTCTATCATTATCCCATAATACGCCCTCTACTTGCTATGTCCCCATGTCGAAATTTGCTCTCAAAAGTCCGGGCTTGTATTGCTGCTGCTATGCTATGCTTTCCGCATCTTAACTAGCTAGGTAGGTAGGTAGATAGGTCTTTCGTATACCTAGTAAATACGGATGACAGGTTCGGTCTGTTGCCTAGGCGCCTAGTTGTTGAATAGCAGGGATGCGGCAAACTCGACGTTACCGCCGGTGGCTTCCAGGGCATTAATCGCGGCTTGTCGGTCCCACCCCAGAGACACCAGCGTGTTGATATCGTTCTCCGGAAATGTTCGCTGCGGAGGTTGGGCCTGAGGCTGTGGTGGGGGGGGACGAGCTATGGGAGCTGCTGGTCGTGATACAATAGGCGCAGAGGCAGAGGAAGGGCCTGCTGACGATGCCTGAGGGCCAGTGACAGCGCCAGATCTAGCACCAATGGTGGTGCCTCCGGGTCCCTGGACAGTTGGTTCTTGGTTGACCGCCTCTTCCGTCTCCTTCGGAATATCTGACTCGCCAAGGAAATCCACCTCTTCGCCTTGGATGATAAGTTTGCTTCGTACGAGGTCAATAACGGCCTGATGACCTTTAAGAATGTCCAACCCAATAAGTAGGTCTACTGACTTCCCTTCCATGACAGTGAAGGCTGCAGCGAGGTGCTTCGTGCCTAGCTGCAGCATGGTGTAATGCACTCGGCCTATGATATTGGCTGTCCCCACACCACGAGCTACTCCAGCAAATCGTCTGTCAACGAGGCGCATTATGTTGCATGCCTCAGCGCAAGTTGGCGACATGATAGTAGCCTGGGCACCAGAGTCAACTAGTGCCTTCACCTTTACGCCGTTTACCTTGACATCTACATAGAGAAGGTGTACGCGACCAAAAGCTATAGAGCATTATTTAGCAGTTGATTCAACTTTCGAAATCGGGGCCTATAGTTCTTACACTCTGGATTGTACTCCATGGCATTCTGGAGGTTCTCCATGACACCTTGTTGACGGATCATATCTTCAATCTTAGCCTGGGAATCAGGGTTGAACTCGTCATTGTTCAGAGCTTCGATTTCGCGCATACGCGCTCGGCGTGCCTCTTCCTGCTGATCTGCGCTTTGACGGAAGATCTGGGCAAATCTGGAGGGGTTCTCAAGGGCAGCAGCCAGCTGGGGGTTCGCCCTTTCTAATTCACTTCTCAGTCGAGCATCGCCAAGTACTTGCAGGCGGATTAACTCTGGATCTTGAGATAGGGCAGGGGCTTGTCTCCGCTGCGGCGGCTGCGGTTCGCGATGAGCAGGCGCAACGCCGGTGTTGCCCCTCATGTCCCGCACATGCAATGCCAGCATATCTCCATCAGAAATATTCAACTCTTGCAAGGTCTTAGAATTATCGGTAACGAGTTGGCCGTTGTGGTAGATGTTTTGTGAAGGGGAGGGTATGCCCTCAGCTTCGATGGAGCTTCGGAGGTCGCCCAGGGTCATATCGGGGGGGACATCGAGGTTTATGAGTTGAAGCTCTTGAGCCTCGACGTCCGGGTTGTTCACGTTTACGGTAATGTGCCTACAGTGAGCCTCGAAGTATTAGTTGATACCTGGGATGATGAATGTATGTATGGCTGGTTGTGGGGGTCAGCAAATCGTTTATGGCGAGGATGAGCTTACATTTTGATCAAGGATGACCTAGAACCTTGAATACCTAAGTGGTTGGCTTGAGTATGGATTGGGAAAGGGAAGGCTACTCTGCTAGCTTGAGTAGATTATCGCGATATGGCTTGTTGGAAAGAGTAGTTAGGTGGTAGTAGGTAGTATAGGTCAACGGTAATGGTAGCAGTTAGTAAGGGCGATGAGATGAAGGTGGGGGGGAAAGCCGCAGTTTGGATGGGAAGGTTCAAGGTTCAAGGTTGGCTACTAGGTTACTAGGTAGTGTAGTGGTAAGTATGTAAGGTTCAACGTTAGATACACGTTAGATACAAGTACTTAGCAGGTACTTACGAACCAAAGTAAAAGCGAGTGTGGTATCTAAATCGGCGATGGAGAAAATTCGGTGGAAAAAAAATTGATGGTGCAAAGAACCAAAAAAAAAGCGACGAACAGAAAAAAAATTCCATAGAAAAAAAAAGTTACTGTCTGCCTTGACGATGTAACACAGGCACATGCATTAACAGGAACAGCCAACTGAACTGATGGACGATGACGGACGAGGGGCGGTAGGTGATCCGTCGATGCGAGATGGTTATGTAAGGAATGTTAACTACTATGTACCTACTTTGTAGCGCCTGGGCATAACACATAAACGGTGCCAAATGTCAATTTTCTACAATTATAAATGTTTCCAACTACACTGTTAGTTATGTTGTAGTACTAGTAGGTACATGGAGCCCTAGATTTGGTACCTGATAGGAAAGCATCCTCCCATTATCAGTGACTAGCTACATAATATCTACATCATCTTTACCTTTAGGTACCTTCTTGATGTTCTTAAAGTTAAAACAGTCATAATATCTCCACTTTATTAGCTAGTACGTCCATCCATATATGTAAGCAAGTAGGGAGAAACCCCGTCCCGTAGAGCCCCGTAAAACCCCGCTAGCAAAAAAAGCCTAGGCCCTCAACGGCCCCCAACTTACCTCTCCAGCTGCCAGCTTTACCAGCTCCAACTTAAACTACGGCAATTGCCTTAATCAGCCCATAAGGCTGGGGCACCTTCTTTGAAGCTTGTCCAACAGTTGGCAAGTGACTTCCTTCTATGTTCTACATATGTAGTTAGTTATGTCCTGTCTAAGGTTAGTACTGTACAATACACTAAATGTTAGGTAAGTAACTAACTCCTAAGTTACCTAACCTTAGTAACCTAACCTAGGTACTACTAGTAGTAGACACGTGCCGTATCACGATTCCAGCCATTGCCCACCTAGATACGACTAATAGGGGGGAGAGGCACATTCAATGTTTTGTCAGAAAAGTCAATGTTTCATGTATATACCTACACAATATCGTCAAATCTCACCCTAAAGTCTCTTGTTGCTGACAGAGATCCTTCGAAGCACCCAGAAGAAATCTCTTATTCGCCGCTATGTTGCGGTAGTCTTGAGAGGCAAATACTCCTTAGCCCCTTTTCTCCTTTATCCTTCTTTTAGCCCAATAACCTTGATGCATCAATGCTAAGACAACGATAAGCTCAATGTTTTTTGTCATGATTGTCTTAATATATTCGGTGTCATTAAAAAATGAATATGCAGCAAGTGATGTACTGGGTGCTGTTATAGTAGTACTACAAGGTGTATATACGAAGTTATAGCACTCACATTACCTATTTTGATACCTCAGGTAAGGATATAATGAAGGGATTCGGCGACAGTTTTGGCTGGACTTTTAAGCATATACGAACTGACTAACCTGGGTACCTTACCTCATCTTTCGTTATCTAGTATGAGATCTCCGTCACTAACTTGAAAAGTGAGTGCCAAGGCATCAAACAGCAAGGCTTTGTGGTGCCAGTATATAGTTACTCTGAAAGCTGCTCTCTCCCCCCCTCTCTCAAACTAATACACTTGTGACTCTTGCGCGGTAATAAGCTGAGTATAGTCCCAACTTCGTGCATCGCCTATAAGTACCTATTTAGAAATGGAAGCTCGGTAGGTTGTATCTGAAACCCACGTGTTTGCTATATATAGTAATAGTAGCAGTAGAATAGGTGTAGTTACATACGTAGGTAGTTTAAGCTAATTTGTGTCATGTGCTTCAACAGTAGAGCTGCATTTGACGGCCCATAGCCGACAGTCCACAGTTCATAGCCTTACCCACCAAAGAAGGTGAGGCTCTTCAAATCATATCAGGTAGTGTTCAACTCTCCACCCCCAAAACACACTAGGTTATATACAACAATCCATATGGCTATGTAGTGAACCAAAATACTGATCTTCGTGGTATTCGTACTAAGCATACCTACTTCTTCCGCACCTTGTCCGCACCATTTTTGGCAAATGCAGATGGTAACTAACTACCTATAGTAGGCTAGTGAAATGATAGGTACGAAATACTGGGTATGGTTAGAAAAGATAAGCATTGAAGTGCTTGATAGGTAAGTTGTTTCTGTTGAATGTTTTCTGAGGATGTTGAATACGCTACCTACCATGACGGTGATAGTGTAATACTACTTGAAGAACGTACGTAGTCCAAATATAAAATATAAAACAAAAACAAGATTGAATTGAAAAATGTTTCTTATGCAGGTACTAAAAGGATAGAACCCAAATAAAAAGGGGGCGGAAAGGATCGTTAAGGTACTACGTACGCATGATAACTGCCGGGGCGGCGAGTATAGATCCATCAGATATCATGCTATGTGGGTCTGATTCGTCAACTGTCCACATCTGGTTACAAACCCTTCTGCTCTAGGTAGCTCTAAGAAATGTGACGAGGCTAGAATCGTCGAATCGTCCGAAGATTTTAAAAATATCGTCTTTCTCATTGGCGGATCGACCGACCAGGTCCCCCCTGAACCCGTAAATGCTTGTTCAAGAACAAGGCTCAGCTTCTTCCATATTCGCAATCTACAGGGGACGCGTAATGGTATTTCTAGAAACTAATGCCATTGTCTAGCGGGCACCAACAAAAACGTTCACCGCGAGGCGACAAGCATTGGTTGAATGGCTTCAAGGGACCAACGAGAGACACCGAGGCTTCCAGGCTTGGGTCGTAGTCGCCCAGAAGCATTACTCGCATTACGAATGATGATCCTTAATGGCCATTGGGTGGATCCAGTAGGAAGAAAGAATCAAGCATTATAGTAAACTTTCTGTTGATGAGCTTATAAGACACCCATCATGCCAGCTCAAGTCAAGATCTTCACTCACTTCCAACCCATCCTCCACTTAGCATTCACCTTCCATCCAGTCGTTTCTTGATACCCACAGATCGCTTATCCTTCCTGTATACCCATCGCCATCATGGTTGCTATCTCTCAACTCTGCCTCGCCGCTTTGGCAGGCTACGCTGTCGCCCACCCCGGCGAGCATCACGATGCAGGAAAGATGAAGCGCGAGCTCGTCGCTCGTGACCACGCCGCCAGGGTCGGTGCCCGATCTTTGGCATCGTGCTCTACCTCGGCCTCAGCCACCGCCCTGAACAAGCGATCCGTCCAGCGACGTGCCGAAGTCGTCAAGAACCTTCGCCAGAAGCGCAACATCCAGGCCCGTGAGTAACTATCCTGACTAACCTACCTTACAAGTATCTCATAAGTAGTGCTAACACACATTTTTTGCAGCCGCGAGAAAGAACAAGCGCACGCTCGCTGACCTCCAGGCATGGGAGGCTGTCAACCACAACATGTCTTCCACCTACGACTACAACATGTTCACCGCGATTGAGGAGGTCTTCAGCGCCAACACGAGCTGTATCCTGTCGCCCGAGATCACCGTGGGCCCCTACTACGTCGTGGGCGAGAAGATGCGCTCCAACGTCAAGGAGACGGAGTGGTGCGACGGCATCGACGTCTTCCTCGAGGTGCAGTACATCGACATCAACACGTGCGCGCCGATCCCCGCCGTCGCCGTCGACGTCTGGAACTGCAACGCCACGGGCGTCTACTCGGGCGTCGACGCCACCGGCCAGGCCGGCGTCAACTCCACCTTCCTCCGCGGCGTCCAGCTGACCGACGCCGACGGCGTCGCCAGCTTCGAGACCATCTTCCCGGGCCACTACAGCGGGCGCGCCGTGCACACGCACCTGCTGTCGCACAACAACGCGACCGTCATGCCCAACGGCACCATCTCCGTCTGGGACGCGCCCGTGAGCCACATCGGGCAGCTGTTCTGGCCCGAGGACCTGCGCGCCGAGGTCGCGGCCACGGCCCCCTACACCAGCAACACCGTCGAGCTGACGACCAACGACGGTGACATGTGGTCCATCCTCCAGGCCGACGAGTCCTACGACCCCTTCCCGCAGTGGGTCTACCTCGGCGACTCCATCGAGGACGGCCTGTTCGCCTGGATCCAGATCGGCATCAACGGCTCTGCTGACTACACCGAGGACGATTACTATTCCATTGGTAAGTTTTTTTTTTTTCTCATACATGTGACATGGCTTCTCGGTCGAGGAGCAAAAAAAAAAAAAAGGAAGGATCGATCGCTAACTCGTTCGTGTCACAGCTGCGTACTACGACGCTGAGGGTGGTCACTCGACCGGCAACTCCGTCGGTGGCGGCGGCGGCGGCAACGGAACTGCCCCCGGTGGAAACGGCACCATCCCGAGCGGATTCCCCAGCGGCTCCATGAGTGGTGGCCCTCCGGCTTCCACCAGCGCCTAGATCTGAGTGTTTGCTTGGCTGCATTTGCAGTCGTAAGAGGCGTCTCTTTCTAAGCACGTGGAGAGCCTGCTTGCTTTTTAGGGGGGGGGGGGAATACATCCCGTCTACGAACTGGTTTGGAAAAAAAAGAATTTTTTTACAAGATGGATGGCAATGCGAGGAGATATGGAGGCTAGTGTGTATATATTTTTTTGGCTTTCCTACGTTGGTGGTGGTGTACATACAGACGGGCATTTGCCAAGGTGGTTTGCATATTTTGAACTTTGGCACGTATATAAACAAAGTTGCGGAAGATACCATTTTCGTTCGTACATAACTTACTTGAAGGCCTTCAGTGAAAGTGAAACTTGTTGGTTGTTAGAAGGGTATACAGTTAGAGATTCTCCTAGGTCTTGGTCTGATTGCCCTCTGCGTGACGAAGGGATAGGGACAAGCAATTGCATACAATGTGGCCATTCATCAAACATCAGCCACAACTCAAGGAACTGAATCTATTAGATATCAGGCAATCGCAATAGGATACTTCATTTCTGTAGTGACTATGGGTAACAGGTACATGTCTTGGTAGTTATCTAACCTAGGGTAGGTAGGCTATTGTGGTTTGGCACTGCTGCCAAGGCGGAGAAGTTGCTTCTACATACCTCCCTAGTAGCTAGTACGACATAATTAGAACCCAGGGATTTTCACGGTGACCAGGTTCTCTACTTTCCTTCTTTTCTAAGATAGGTATTCCGGTCCTATGTTGGCTTCTCAGTTTGGCACTCCCGGGATCCTTCCCCAGCCAACTACGTAGGGCCGAGTAAATAACAAGATGCTGGAATAACCATGCTTTTCCTAGGTACACCTAACCTACATATGTAATTCAAATCATTCATTTACCAAGACCCAATAGCCTTTTTGCTTCCTCTGGCAGAATTACCTACCTACCTAGTCAGGTCATGTCGTTTCACGTAACTCGACAGTACGGCCGAAGAAACGGCCATACGGGGATCAGCCTTTTATTACTCGTTTTGTGGTGACGAGTTGAAAAAGATTCAAATCGAGCTAGACAGCTGCTTGCATGCTTTTCCCGTGTCCTTAATGCAACGCTTATGGCTTTTTTTTATTTTTTTGCGGAGTCCAACACGCGGTACTACTAAAGGAGTGGCTAATGTACCTACTTGCGAATTTAGTATGGTGAGGACGATTTAAGGGTAGGCTAGCATGCAATAGCATTGACAAAATATAGTCTTATACTGACATACCCCCACGGGGATAGAATTGCCTAGGCAAGTGACAAGGAGGTTGAATATAGTCCCAGAGCCTAGGGTCATGAACCGTATGTTGAAAAGTTCAGATATGTCAGTGGAAACCTAAAAGCTTCGAGTTTCCAAGAAAGGGATTACACACTTGCTTACGAAATGGCTTTCCTATGAGGTAAAGGAACCGCTAATACGATGGATATCACGTAAAAGGCGTCGGCGCCTCTTCTCCTCGGCTTCCCCTTAAATAGGGGTACTTGGTATTGGTGTTACACAAAGTGGTGGATGTTCCCGCGGGTTTCTGTCCGTGAACACTCGTACATATGGCTTGAAGGATTAGAAGTTAGCACCATATACATAGTAGACTCAGACATAACCATAGAAATCGAGTTGGGCACCTTAAGGTTCACGGCTGCCGTTTGTGCTATTTCGACTTTTTAAGTTGATGACCGAACATACCGCGAGAAAAGAAAAAGGGCCTCAGACTTGTAAAGATATGTAGGTAGGTAGTACGAAGTTGTAACCAATATTGATATGATTATGTCAAGGAATAGTGGGAGGGTATTATCTCAATATCAACATGATCTGCTATTCGACAGTAACGATGCGTTCGTGTCTTTGCAAGTACTATGTAGACAGAGCACATACTTTAAGCACATACATTATGCCTAAGATGTATATACTATTGTAGATGTGTGTGTGTGTGTGTGTGTGTGCTATGTAGACACATGGCATGGCACTTGAAGCCGATGTTAGTGTTGAGTTAGTGAAGTCGGGTACGTAGATACTTTCAAAAAGGGGGGAGGGGGAGGGGGAGGAGGTAGAAATCACGACTCACAAGCAATGCTTCCCCACAAATTGACGTGCAGGTTGGGGGTAGCATGCAGGGTACTGTACCTAGACCCACTCTTAAATATAAGCACATATGCAATAGAACACCTAGTATGCAACCAGTATGCAATAGAAAGGTCGGAAAAGCTCTCGACAAGCATCGACAAGCGATGCAAGACGCTGGGTTAGGCAAAAAACTAAGTAACGGTCAATTTAGACGTCATCTATGTTGCACCCCATGATCAGTCGGAATGGTGTTTGATTTGCCCCACTTCTGGCCCGAAGGCGAAAGGGGGCTTCACCTCGTCGTCGTGATTTCATGCCTTGGTATTTGCAGGTATTTGCATATGTATCTAGGCTGGGTAGGTAGGTAGTAGGTAGTTAGTTAGTACAATGGTACAATACCTACTATATATGTGACTATGTGTAGGTATTCTTGTACATGTATGTCGTTACCAGACATGCAATTCTATAAATACAGCCGACATACGCAAGGAGAGTATGTACACGTCCAAATACATACATACATACCTAACAGTTAATACTTATAAGAGGCTCTTCATGCCGTTGAGGGGTAAGGTGGGGTTTCGGTAAAGATCGTCAGGTCATGGTCACATATAGGTGACGTAAGTAACCCGGCGGTTCCCGGCGCTGGGGCGTTGTTATTCCATGAGTACGTACAATATGGTACAATATATACACATACAGCAATATTTATTATTGCTATTATTGTGTTAGTCGGTACATACCTAGACCATATATAGTACTATTAGATTCTGTAGATAAATATATAAATTTATAATATCACTTTCTCAGGATCAGGATAACCGGGTTACATTACGTGCATAGTGCATCATACTAGCTTCGGTGGTTTATACTGCATAGTACACAGTAGACAGGCTGTAACTTACTCTACCCAGGTAACAAGAGCAGTCTAGGCAAGGGGTAAAAAAAAGCATGCAAGCATTTTGGTCACACAACATCACGAACAATGCCTCGAGCCGAGCAAGGGTTCAATGCTATAAAAATTCATATACCAGTTATAATTCAGTCGGTCTAAAGTTAACACTAGGCCTACCTAGTATAATATGCAGTAAACCATACATTCAAGAGAGTGGCGGGGCCGTAATAGCCGGTGGCTCATTCTATTCGTAGTTCTTTTGCTTCTTAAGTTTTCTGTCTTCTGATTTGTTGATTCTCTTTCCTCTTCCTTTTTTTATTTCTTTTTTTACCTACACGCATCCCAGGATACCACATCCCACTCTTTACCTACACATACATCCATACATAGTTCTTGGTCAGTTGGTCTATGCACTAACCAACCCGCAGCCCCGTCTGCCCGTTTATGACAAACCATTTAACTCCTCATGCCCATGAACCTCTCATATTGCAGGAAAATTGCACCTGCTAGTCCAGTTCCTGGACAACAACGAATTACCGAGCCGTATTATGTTTATTATGTACCTAGTATCCATACCTACGCCTGCTAGGCTGCCAGGCCGCCCCCTTCCGTTGCGCCTTTCTTCGGGATATTCTGTCAGCATAGACCATCATAGGCCATCATAGGACCATCGTGATGAATGCAACTTGCTCAAACAATACCTAGGGCTGATGTACCTGGTAGTTTCGTCCTTGACCGATCGTACTTAGACTGGGATCGCCCCTTAGTTTCCGACTGACATCATTACTATGGCCCTGGCGCCCTTTGTTAGCGAGAGGAGAAAGGGCCAGCTCTCGCACTTAGGTTTATGCTCCCCATCACACAATACGCTTTGTGCTAGATCTAAGTAAGGATGTGCCTTGTTGCAGTAACTCTCCGATTTATCAGCTATTATATTCATCCCAGCTGAAACTTATATATCGTCTAACTTCTGCCACTCTCTCACCTTACCCCTGTGAAGGTGAAAATTATTATCTAAACTTACTTAGCACAACCACACGTTTCTTGTGTAGTACCTAGACATTTTTATCTTTCGAAGCTATGCCCTCCATTGTTGAAACGTCATATGAGCCTCTGCGGTCCAACCCACAATCCAAGCTGGAAGGGGGGGCTAGTAAATCCGTGGGACGGCAACCCCAACTTGATATCATTGATATCCGACACGCCGCTGTTGAAATAAACGTCAAGGGGGAGATACCCAAGTTGCTTCGCCCGCAGGAAGGACCTCGGAGGTTGCCGACCCTACTACTCTACGACGAGAAAGGTCTACAGCTATTCGAAAAGGTTCTAGAGCCTATGTGCCGTAACACGCTGCGGTACCTCGTACTGACCGGGATAATAGATTACATACTTGGAAGAGTATTACTTAACAAACTACGAGATCCAAGTCTTACAGCGTTCAGCTGCTGCGGTTGCCAAGGCAATTCCATCTGGATCCCTGGTACTTGAGCTCGGCAGCGGGTGAGTTGCGGTACCATCTTTGCAACTCGGGGATAAGCCATTGACTCCTCTCGGGTAGCAACTTGAGGAAGGTAGCCCTTCTGCTCCAGGCCCTTGAAGACGCTGGCAAGAAGATTGACTACTATGCTCTCGATTTATCGGAAGATGAGTTGTCAAGGACTCTAGCTCAGGTTCCAACCTTTCGTCATGTCCGATGTCACGGGCTCTTGGGAACATACGATGATGGCCGTGAATGGCTAAAGAGGCCGCAGATCTCCTCAAAACGCAAGTGTGTTTTGTCTCTCGGATCTAGCATTGGTACGAACTCGAGCATATTCGGATACCTATCAGAAATCTCAGGATTGACCAGCCTAAATAGGTAACTTCCACCGGGACGAAGCAGCCTCGTTTTTGAAAGGTTTCGCCGATGTACTACAGCCAGCGGATAGCTTTTTGATTGGTCTAGACTCCTGCACCGATCCCTCCAAGGTCTAGTAAGTGATGTAGAATGTCCTATTTTGTCTTGTTTGGGAATGTCAAACTACTAACACCCAACCCAACAATAGTCACGCATACAATGGTCAGTGCCCCTAATGCTTACCTTATTAACTTGATCTTTACTGAATACCCGCTACTTTGATAGACAGCAACGGCATCACACACAGGTTAGTTTACCATGACGCAATGCATACCAATCTGGTTATTCACGCTCGTGCTGATTGGTTCTAGGTTTATCCTGAATGGACTAACCCATGCAAATGAAATTCTCGGGCGCAAGGAATTTGACCTAGATGAGTGGCAGGTCATCGGCGAATATGTGTATGATAACGAAGGGGGGCGACATCAAGCATTCTATTCGCCCATCCGCGATGTTGTCGTTTTGGGAGAGACCATCAAAGCACATGAACGTGTCCAAGTTGAGCAGAGCCTGAAGTACTCGAAGGAGGGCTGCAGAAACTTATGGAGGTCTGCTGGTATGATCGAAGCTGATCGTTGGATGACCACGGACGAAATTTACGGTGAGTGGTCCACGAATGCTTTGTCCAACCCTGAGAATATGGGGGTTGTCCTACTTCCCCAGCGGGCTGTCCCACGAATGGAGATGAGCTTCTCCGCGTTTAGAAGGGTCTGCAGAACACAGCCCACGTGAGAATGGTCAGGAGATGCTGTCATCTTGAGGTATTTCTGCAGTATACTGTGTGTGCCTGTCGTGGTTTTAAATGCGGGGCGGCCATGACTCCGTGCGATCTTGAGTGGTTACCAAACTGGTTCATCTAACAGCTTTTGCAGGACTTCATCTGTTGACCAAGCCAAACATGTCCTTCAGTCTAAACCCTACCGAATATGCTCAGTCTCATATACCGACTCTGAGCGACTATGAAACGTTATGGGCAACCTGGGACATCGTCACCAGGCGTATGATGCCCAACGAGGAATTATTGGAGAAACCCATACAACTTCGAAATGCTTGCATTTTCTATCTTGGTCATATACCGACTTTCCTTGACATCCAGCTGACTAAGACAACCAAGAACCCTCCTACAGAACCGGCCTTCTACTACTCTATTTTTGAAAGAGGAATAGACCCAGATGTCGATAACCCTGAGCATTGTCATCAACATTCGGAAATTCCGGAAGAATGGCCACCTGTAGAGGAGGTCATAGAGTACCAGGGGCGGGTAAGAGATAGGCTGAGAAGCATATACTCGGTAGGATTAGAGAATATCCCTAGGAATATTGGGAGAGCTATCTGGGTGGGCTTCGAACATGAGATCATGCATTTAGAGACTTTACTCTACATGATGCTACAAAGCGATAAGACCCTTCCACCACCTCACACAAATCGACCTGATTTCGAGGCTCTGGCTCAAGAAGCATATGCCGCCAGGGTTAACAACGAGTGGTTTAATATCCCAGAACAAGATATCACAATAGGGCTTGATGACCCCGATGAATTGCTGCATTCTAGCAAGCATTTTGGGTGGTGGGTCGCAATGATGTCTCGGTTCGATAAACTGGCTAATTTTCTCTTAGGGATAATGAGAAACCGTCAAGGCGTGTACAAGTTCATAGCTTCCAAGCAAAAGGAAGACCCATTACTAACGAAGAGGTACGTCAAGCTCGTAACAAAAAAAGAACTAATCTGACCCCTTCTAGTACGCACTATACATGTACAACACGAAGGAAGCAAAGCTCCCTACTTCTTGGGCCGACGCAAATTCGACTAAAGCCAGTGATGGTGATGTGAAAATAGAAAAGCAAGAGAATGGGCACACAAACGTCTCCAAGAATGGTCATACTAACGAACACTCCAACGGGGACTTCAATCAAGGTGCCATCCCTGAATCATTCTTGGAAGGCAAATCAGTACGTACCGTTTACGGGTTGGTGCCGTTGAAATATGCCCTCGACTGGCCGATATTTGCATCATATGATGAACTCACCGGATGTGCCGCTTGGTTGGGAGGTCGGATCCCCTCATTTGAGGAAGCCCGGAGCATATACGCTTACGTTGACAACACGAAGAGGAAGGATGCAGAGCGCAAGCTTGGCAAAACGGTTCCAGCAGTGAATGCGTGAGTCTCCCTTCGTCATCGTCATGAGGTTAGTTAGAACTACTTTGCTGACTCTTAGTAATGCGCAGTCACCTGCTCAACGATGGCGTCGAAGAAACTCCGCCATCGGAGGCTCCTCGTATCGATGGCGGCTCATCTGAAAATGACGAGCTGTTCATCGACCTAGCCGACGCCAACGTCGGCTTCCGTCACTGGCACCCCGTTGCCGTGACCGCTCACGGAAATCGCCTAGCAGGCCAGGCCGAAATGGGAGGCGTATGGGAGTGGACCAGCTCCCCGCTCAGGAAGCACGAAGGCTTCGAGCCCATGGCGCTATACCCCGCGTATACCGGTATGCCTCTTGCCCCTTTTTGCATAGGTACTTAGGCACCTAGACCACTCAAGATCCCCCCAGTACTAACTCCACGTGAACCTGACAGCCGATTTCTTTGACGACAAGCACAATATCGTCCTCGGCGGCTCTTGGGCCACTCATCCCCGCATCGCGGGGAGAAAGACCTTGTACGTTTTGCTCTGCTTTTCAGTTCCCTTCCCCCTTCCCTTCCCCTCCCGTTCCGTCCTTCGATCCTCTTTCCCAACTACTATTTCTCTCCAAATACAGACACTTATGATTATTAACTTCTTTTCAGTGTCAACTGGTACCAACGCAACTACCCCTACCCCTGGGTCGGCGCCAGGATTGTCCGAGACATCGACAACAACAATAACCAATAACTACCTAGGTAGATACACTTGGACCGTCTACGTTCTTTGGAAAAGGGCAAGCCCCTACCTATGGAGAGAATAGGGGAGAAAATGGTTGTTGTGATGAGTGTGCATGGCTCGTTTTCTTGTGAAAATTTCCTTACCTAGCAGCGCAACTCCCTCATTTATTTGCTTGTTGGTCAGTTGGTCGTCGGCTTATTTGTCTGTCTTTTTGAGCTTGCGGAAATTTTTGCATCACGATCATCAGGTTATGCAGCACTGGACCTTATTTATGTAGTGTTCTTTACATCCATAGGTACGAATCTATTCATGCGTCTCTATTATCAGGTACCCTTTATACGGACTTGCGCCTATGATGCCTTTTTTTTCCTCGCGCCTTGCTTCGCGTATGTAACTAGGTTAGGTATGTAAGGGGTCATCCAATGTGTATGTGTCTAATAAAATAATGACCCGTTCAGTGATGTTTCATCATGAATGATCGTGATAGCGATAACTCGTAGGCTTTGAAAAACCTAGGGCGTCCTTAGGATGCTCCAAGCCCCACGGGTGCTTGTTTGGCCTGCATCGCATAACTAAAGCATGGCCTTTTCGTCCTTCTCATAAAAAAAAAGAAGAAAAGAAAACGCCATAAGTGGATTTGCGTTCGATGAAACCTATCATCGGGGTCCACCCCGAGCCTGACCACATTAGTTGTTCCCCCTGATGGCCATATTCCGGCGTGGCCGTTGGTGTGGTCTTCTAGACACATCTACCTTCTACGATACGTACCTATGTACGTCAATGCGGTACGAGAAGAAGAAGTGGAATAGGGGAACCCCCAAAGTCGGTCGAGTAAACCACCTGGCATTATGCAATAATGCTTGATTGGACTTTAGTACATCAGGTCTATAATCTGCTTAGCTACGGCAGTTGGTGTCAGAACGCCGTTATCCGAGATGAAGGATGTGATGAATTCCGGTGGCTGTTTTTTTTTTTTTTGTTTTGTTAGCAAGGGACCTATGCACATTCGTTTCGTTGATATCGCCTCACGTACCGTATAGTCCACAGGGTCCGCTATGGAGGGCTTAGCATCATTACCAGCTGCTTCGGACTCGCCTGCTTGGAACTTGATTATGGCCTGGTCGAAGCCGAGGTCAAACTGGTCTACGGGGAAGGTCCTGCCGAATTTGTGTTGTTCGGCTGCTACGAAGAACTCCTTCCTGCGGGTTTTGGCTAGGAGGGCGAGCTGGTAGGTGCCCATTCGAGAAATGATACCACCGTTCGCTGTTACTGCTTCGGCACCGACTATGACCATGTCGGCCTTTCCCATGGAGTATGCGACGGCTGATTCGGGTATCGTTGCAACCGGGACCCCCTTTTCGCGCAGCGCAGCCACCACTCGAAGGCTTTCGGTCCGTCGCGCCTCGTTTATGACGTGTATCACCTTGAACCTCCGGCGAGAATCTCCTAGCGTTGATTCGGCGGCCCTACCCAGCAACGTGCCAACGACTCGAGAGCCCCCGTGGGTCAAGATGGTGTAGTCGTCGAGAATGTACTCCCTGCCCACCGAAGCAATATGCTCTCGCGCCTGCTTCGCCCTCTGCGCGAAGAGGCGGCCGTTGCGCATCAGGTGCTGGCGCACAACCTCGAAGTTCTCGTGACTACTAGTCTCCTTCCCGTCAGGGCCGGGCTGTTTGAGCGACATGACGAGGTATTGCTGGAACAGGTCGGTGCCGTGGGTGAGAGCGATGGGGTTGGTGACGGCCTTGCGCAGCTTCGCGGATTGGGTCTTGATGAGATCCATAGTCTCAAAGACGGTCTTCGCGGAGGACTGGCTGAGCGCTTCGATCAGGGCTTCGATGGCGGCGACCGGCATCGTAAGCTCTGGGTCGTCGGCAAGGAGCTTGTTGTAGGCACTAACGATACTAGAGAGTGGTAAGGGACCTCGGTTAGCTTGGTAGTCCTAGATGGCGGCTTACAAAGAAGTTAAGGGGATCTTTAGAAAGGAGACATACTCGAAAGACTCAAGGTCAGGGTTGTCGCGAATGGGGAGCTCGCGCTCATGTTGAATAATCCCCGTCATTATCGCAACTCGGGGTGGTGATGCTGGGATGTGTAATCCGTATGAACTCGTGATTGTACAAATGTAGAATAGGATGACGGAATCAACTCTAGGTATTCAAACAATTAAGAACATAAATAAATAAATAGCAACCGGAGAAAGAACGGCCAAGTTCAATAGAGAAGGTTCATACAACCGTAAACTTTTTTTTTTCCGCTATTAACTCAACTTAAGGTTAAACTGGTGAGTCAAATCGCGGGGCACGTCACTCTCACAAAACGCTAATCTACCTTATACTTGCATATATCCGATAGGTACACCCATGAGAGTTCCGGGTTGTGCATGGTGCATGGCTGACCCCACATTTACTAGGTACCCTGGCGGGTAATATACAGGGATCTTGAGTCTAGACTTGGTTATGTGTGTACTTGGATCGATGTAGTCGTCGTACCTGCGTATGTAATGTTCTCCTTGCATGTAATATTCATGATACCTCCTGCCTCTCCCCTTCCCCCCAGTGCTGAGCAGGAAACATATTTGACTGTCTACCAAAACGGTGGAAGGAAGGAGGGAACATAGATAAACACATACTAGGTACTATACCTAGTAACTAGGCGTTTGACAGAAGTTTAGGACAAACTTTTTTCTTCTTCTATAGATACCGTTGACTTTAACCTTAGGCACCTAATTCAATATTCGCAACATTATACTTAACCTTGTGCTGCGCACTGCATCAAGGCATTCATTCCCACATCATTCATGTTTCAATAATACCATTCCCGTCTAACAAAAACAAGCCACTCACTCGCTCTCCTCCCGAGTCTTCACGATGGTCAAAATACAGATAATGTCGGACCTCCACCTGGAGCACGACTTCCTGTACAAGACCTTCGACATCCCGCCCGAAGCCGAGTACCTCGCGCTGCTGGGCGACAACGGCAGCTTCCTGCACCACCGTCACCGAAAGGAGTACCTGGCCTTCCTCAAGCGCCAGCTCGAGCACTTCAAGGCCGTCTTCTACGTGTTTGGGCCCAACGAGGCGAACGGCATGTCCTAGGAGGACGCCAAGGAGATCCTCCGCGCGTTCAAGCACGACATGGAAACGGCGGCGGCAGTCGAGGGCGACAAGCCGCTCGGCGAGCTCGTCATCCTCGACAACAGCCGCTTCGACATCCCCGACGAGAACGTCACTGTCCTCGGCGCCACCCTCTTCACCGGCGCGCCCGCGCCCGAGCTGCTAGACGAGTACTACAGCACCACGAGAGAGGTGTGCGGCCTGGACGCCCACAGCCACATACAGAAGCACCACGAGTCCGCCACGTACCTCACCGACACCATCAACGCCATACGCTATTCGGATCCGTCCCGCGCCATCATCGTCCTGACTCACCACGGCCCGTGCAGCAAAGCGATAGCCCTAGGCCTCGGCCGCGAGGATACGCCCGACGAGATCTCGTATCGGTACACGAGCGATTTGACGGACACCTCCGCGTGGAAGAGCACCAATGTGATGCTCTGGGCCTTTGGCGGCACGCACTTCAATTGCGACTACGTCGAGGTGTCGACTCTCAAGAGGGTCTATTCCAACCAGAGGGGGTATATTGGAGAGTGCGAGGACTTCGACGTCGGGAGAATCGTCGACGTTACTCCACCTTACTAAGAAAGGACATATCAATAGAGGGGAGCTCTCCTGCATGTAGTGTAGACATTGACATTATAGTCGCTCGGAGGATAATCTCGATTAGACGTAGAAAGAAATGATACCCCAGAAAGATCCTAAGAGTTCGTCACATGAGTATTGCTTTGGCAGTGCCAAATTTCAATTTCAATGTAACCGTGTGGTGCAAACGCCCAAGTCAAGTATGGGTAAGGGTAGTTCGACCTTAGGCAGGTGACAACTGAATTAATGCTACATGTTGAAAGTGAGGCCAAATGATTGGAATATGAATTATTATCGAATCATCAGGTATTTTCCACGATGGTTATAGACAGACACTAAACCTACATGAATGAAGTTTGCTGTGTCGCGGGTATTTAACATTTAGGCACAAGCAGATACATCCATCATCCCCTGTTCCTCGTTGTTTTTTATTTTCAATCAAGACACAACCTTTGCCTTTAAGACTAGCGGTGGTAAAACGGGTTTCTCGCGAACCTCTTCCTTTGTGTCGCCGAAGGTGTACTTGGCTCCAAGCTCGTAGAAGAAGGACTCCTTTATATCAGAAAGCAGACGGCATAGGGTTGATATGTCACCTGTCGGATCAGCTAGTCCTAGTTCCTCGTGGTCATCTTCTGCCGGTTTATCGGTGTCCAGTACCAAGTCGACTTCCTTCACTTTGGGAAAGCTGTGCATCAAGGTGTATTTGTTGTAGGTCTCCCATGGTCGTCTGATAGCAGGTTTGACATAGTCGATTGCGAGGTTGACGGTATCATCAGTATTCAGAACAAGATCGGTGAAATGTCGTGAGGCGTCATCATAACCCATGTAGGGTGGTCGTGGTAGATAGAGAATGTCCAAGTCAGGGCAGAAGTATATCCTGGGCTCATGGGATTTTGTACCGAAAGATCTCTTATACACTCTTAAGGCCTCGGATCGAGCTTCGTGACAGACATGGAGGGTAGGCGGAGGTGCTGTTGATGAAAAGCATTGATCTTGGTGACTGTCGTATACAACTTGGACGACTCTGGGGTGACAGGTATGTTGCCATATTTGAAGTCTCAACTCGGTAGGCAGTAGGGAGAAAAGACTGAAGGAGTTCTGGTCCGGCATGGTGGTGGTGGTGTTTTGATGCATGTTTTGATTCACGAAAGGCATGAGAATGAATCGACGACACAACAACACTAGAAGTCAAGACTAATGGTAATAATTCGTAATTTTAGGAACCAAGTTTGGGAAAGGCTGGGTAAGGTATTATATGAAAAGTGAGAGCCAAGGTGCAGGGAATCAATGGCTTTCACGAGAGCCCACAGTACCCCAAACGAAAACGGAACTACCACAGTGAAAGGGATAGACCTTGTCGTATTGCTTTGCGATGCATCTCGGCAGGTAGTGACACTAGATTGGGACCAGCTCCATCCACGAAAATGCCAAGGACGAAGATCGCCCGGGCGTTTTCTGCGTAACGAATTTTGCCAAGATGGTGATGGAAGAATTGTCCTATCGATCAGGCCGAGGAACAAGGCCTAGAGTGACATGGCCAGGCGTAGGCAGCTCGCTTGAGATGCGTGAGTTGGATGAATCAACGTTTGGATGACGATACGCGATGCAACTTGAAATCAATCAATACTAATACATCCATACATATGTAGTACTGGGTACTGGGTACTGTGTATTACATGTGTAATGTATTACATACGATGCACATGTGAATAGCCGCGGTGAAATAATTAAGGTCGAAGAGTGAGAAGAAGATGAATGAACGGTAACGGTAACGGACAGCATTAGCCCGATGACTGTGTGTGAAGTTGATAAAATTTAAATTTGTTTTTTTCTTAATTAGATGAGACAAGCATTAAGGAGTAAAAAAAGAAAGAAAAAAGGCTAGAACCGTCCTTTTTACGCCTTAGCGTGTCATTTGACAGAATAAAAGTCGGGTCAATTGGTCGGCTACCTTCCCGCAATGTCAAGATCGTATGATTATAGCGGAAGGACGAGGAAGGAGGTCATAAAAATTGTTTCCCAGGTTGAACTCAGTGAGCCGCCTCGTTAACAAATCAGACCCGAACGTTCCCGAATTCGGAAACGCTGACAGGGTATGTCAGGCCACAAATCCACTATTTTTTCTTATCTGGGCATGGGGCACAAGGCTTCTGGAAAGCCTGTCTGGCAGTGTCTGCCAGGCCCTGCCAGTTTACTTCAATGTTGCTACAAAACTTACATATAACTATGTAACTATATACATATCTACTCTATGTACCTTCAATGTTCAGATGTCCAAGACTCCATCTATCTTCAACATTGAAGTTGTAATTATTGAAGTAACTATGCCTATTTTCAATTGATGCTCATCGCCCTGCCTATCTACTACATATGTAGTTAGTTAACCTAGTTAGTTACTGTTAGTATCTAAGTATTTATGTCATCAATGATGCGTGCATGAAAAGAAGCTTACGAATATCGAAAATCTACGGAATACTACCTAGTACGCATAATAGGGCTAGCGGGGCACATTGACCACTTCAAAGTTCGAAATCAATTTTATATGTACCTCGGTACCTAATTATTCACACATGCACAGAAAAAAAAGAGACATCTGAATCCCTACAGATTAACTATAACTATCGTGATTATGTAAACTCCACTTCACAATTAAGAAGACAGGGAAGATAAACAGCCCAGTTACATTACCATTCCTTATGACGTAGCAGATCTATCAGTCACTAAGATGCATTCAGAAGTGCCTATATTTTGATTTAGTTACTGATATACAGATGTTGAGAAGAATGGCTAGCACCATAGCATCTTCCTCTTCCGCGGCTCTCACATTCGATCTCATTGCGCGGTGTTCTGTAAGCCTACATATATGGAGCTCACCCCTTTCCTCTCTGCTCTGTGACCAACGGCTATATCAGAAGTCTTTTCTTAACCATCTTCCTAGACAACTAGAGCCCGAGCCTCTACCATAACTCTTCCTCATGGACCAGTCCAGCTTCCTATCTTTATGCCCGTGGCAACACAGGCCTCTTTGAAAGGATTGACTCCAGAACAGCTGGAAGAAACTGGATGCCGTTTATGTTTAAACAACACTTATCATCTGGGCCTAAAGCCAGGACAGGAGGTCCTCGCTGCGGTCGGTGGAGCACATAAATTCCAGGGATGGAATCACAATTTGCTCACAGATAGCGGAGGGTATGATTCCTTGTTGTGGATACAGCGGCCCTACTTGAAGTGTTATGGGTGACTAACTAAAGTCGTAGCTTTCAGATGGTCAGCTTACTCAAACTCGCCAATATCACAGAAGAGGGCGTTAGGTTTCTAAGTCCCCACGATGGCACGCCGATGCTTCTTACGCCTGAGCATTCCATATCCCTCCAAAACACCATCGGTAGCGATATATTGATGCAACTAGATGATGTACTGGTCACTACCTCACCAGATCACGTGCGAATGCGGGAGGCAATGCTACGCAGCGTCAGGTGGCTAGATCGGTGTATTGCAGCACATAAAAACCCATCTACGCAGAATCTATTTTGCATAATCCAGGGAGGATTAGATCTCGATATGAGACGGGAATGCTGCAAGGAGATGGTAGCTCGCGATACCCCGGGAATTGCCATTGGCGGACTCAGCGGTGGTGAGGCCAAAGCCGACTATTGTCGCGTAGTGGTGACTTGCACCGAGCTCTTACCCGAACTGAAACCGCGATACGTGATGGGAATCGGCTACCCTGAAGACCTGGTTGTCAGTGTAGCCCTAGGAGCCGATATGTTCGATTGTGTCTGGCCAACTCGCACGGCCAGGTTTGGAAACGCCATCACAAAGTATGGCGTCTTGAACATACGCAATGCAAAATTCACCAATGATTTCGGGCCTTTGGAAGAAGGTTGCGGATGTATGTGTTGTCGCAGGGACGGGATGGGGATCACGCGTGCCTTTGTGCATCACAACACGGCCAAGGAAACAGTTGCTGCACATCTCCTTACCATACACAATGTGTGGTATCAGCTCAACTTGATGAGAGAAGTCAGGACGGCGATTATTGAGGATAGGTATCCGGCGTTCCTGCGGCAATTCTTCGCCAACTTGTATCCAGATAAAACCAAATACCCAACATGGGCAGTAGATGCTCTGCGGGGAGTAGGTGTAGATCTATTGACCAAAGAAGTTGAATAAATCATCAAGATACCCTTGAAGCTTCATGGAGTAATGTTGGAAACACCTCTAAACTTCTGACGCTCATCTTATGGTATAGTCAATAACCCATGGACTTGGGCAAGCATAATACCAAGCCTATGGCATTGGATATATGTCTTGGTAACCTAATACCCTCTGTGTCTCATTGGCTTATGTCAGTCGCGGGTTATGCCGACCGGTAACTGTCTAACTGTCGGTGTGATATGAGAAAGTCTAGACTCTTTATAAATCCTTCGAGCTTTAAAGGTAAGGGTCTTATGTGGGCTGAGTTATGGATGTAACATCGTCTGTTTTCGGAGGTGCACTACTAAGACTCTTGAAGTCTGGAACAGAATATTGGCATCGATATGAAAACAAAGGCTTGGGGTTGTGAACTTGTGACGGCATCTTCAATCAATGATAGGGTCCCGAGTATGTACTACTAGTAGTATGTACCTAGATAGATGTATGTAGCACAGAAGTTTGCGCTCGGATTTCGTCGATTTACTTTGCGGGGAAGTGGGGGGCCGATTCAGCCCACCCTCTTGCAAGGTTGAAAGCTCTCTAGCTTCCAGCGTAGCTTTCCTGCCACTGCCAGCGCTTCATCTCGAATCCCAAGAGCAATTAGACTTGCATACGTCAGTACGATCATCTACAACTGCGACCCTCGATCTACTAGCTGATCCTTCCCTGACGTATCTGATAAGCCGATCCTATCGTTGCTTTTCCTTCACCTACTAGATACATAGGAATACATTAATCAAGACAGTCAATCACCAATGCACTGTTCTCTCGCCATCAAACACGCTTAGCATAGCATAGCATACAAGAAGTTAACCCACGTCATCAACTCAATTAGAAGATATCCAATTTACTACAGCAACAAAATAACCATCATAATCATGGCCACACAAGCGATGGCAGACCTATCACTAGACCCTCCCGCCAAACCAAAGGTCAAGTCAAAGGCCAAGAAGGCAGCACCAGTAGCCGAGTCTTGGGAAGACGAAGACACCGAGTCAGACTCGGAAACAACCGCGGCGGCGGCAGCAGCAGCAAAAACAGCAGCAGGGACAGGGCTCTCCTCGCCCTCGTCCGAAAGCGAGGCCAGTCGAATCGACGGCTCCGGGTTCGCAGCACCCCCACCCACGCCCAGCTCCCCCGCCTCCTACACTGCCGCCTCCCCCGCCTCCTGGCGCCAGCCCGTTGCCGTCTCGCCGGCGTCGTCAAGGTCGCCGCCGCCGCCGCCGCTGAGCGACTCGGTGGCGGAGAAGAAGAGGCCGGAGAAGACGGACGCGGTGGCCCGCCGCATGATTGCTAGTGCCCTGGGGGTGCGGGCGCCGCGGCCGACGGAGGAGCAGAGGGCGTATGATCGTGCCGTGAGGGAGAAGGAGAGGAAGAAGCGCGAGGAGGAGAGGGAGGCGGAGAGGAGGAGGCAGGAGGAGGCGGAGCGGGCTAGGGCGGCGATTTGGGAGGACTGAGGGCTGTCGTATGGTCTTGCTTGGCTGGTTGGTAGGATTAGTAATAACGCTGGGACGGGTATAGGAAGCTTTGTTTATCATCCCGCTTCCTTCCTTCCTTTGAATATTACGCTGGATTAGCAGGGGGGACTAACCCGTAATACAAAAAATCGTTAACTCCTCTCGAAAGAGTCCCAATAAATTCGAACGATAAGTGGCACTGAAGTTGGGTTGTATGACATGTTCGTGGATAACTTGTTCTTCGATATGGTTCATGTGAGATAGGGAAGAGGGCTGATTTACATTGGAGATATTTACTATACTAGGTACCTAGGCAAGGAGATCATATTCGTCGGCGTATATTCAGGCTACTTGGGCCAGCATTGGCACGATAAATAAGCCTCGCGGTTCAAAGAGAATAATAGACTTAGCAAAATATGCCAGAAGCTTTTGTTTGTTATGCACATCTCTATTCTACTCTGACATAGTGTGTACACTCAGGAGCGACTAAGTAGTTGGCGTAGGCTCGACTATAGTAGATGCCCCTTCCGCCTCCTGCTCGCACAGATACGGCTTGCCCTTCCAGGTCAAAACGATCCTCTGCTCCCCCTTCCCACCACCACCATCACCACCACCACCACCACCCTCGCCACCATCCGAGAACTTAACTGCGACCCCCAGCCCCTCCAGCCCCTCCTCCTCCGCCCGCCTATTCCACAGCATCTGCTCGAGCCTGCCGTCCGGCGAGCAATATATATACCCCATCGGCCAGCGACTACGGCCCAGCGCATCGCGCACGCCCTTCGTGGCGGGTTTCTGCGCCGCCAGGAAAGCCAGCACCCCTTTGCCCCGCCACCCCGTGGGCGCGCCGACGAAGGCGCCCTCGAGCTCGCGCATGTGGTGCGGGCCGATCTTCGTCCGCTGCGACGACGCCTTGCACTGCAGCAGCACGCGCAGAGGGTGATGCGGGGGGGGGAGGGAGGAGGGCACGCGCCAGGTGCCCAGCAGGTCGATGCCGCAGTCGGAGCGCCCGCCGACGCGCCGCGCGGAGAAGCCGAGGGCCCGCAGGGCCCAGGCGACGGTGTACTCGTATTGCGTGCCCACGTACACTTTGGAGGTCACGTCGAGGCCGGTGCGCGCGGCGTACGCGGCGTACGAGGCGAGGTCGCGGTGCTCGCTGCTGGAGGCATCGGGGTAGATGAGGGTGTGGGTGTGGGTGTGGGTTGGGGTTGGGGTTGAGAGGGACCGGGCTGCTGCTGCGGTGGCAGTGGCGGTGGTGGCGGTGGTGCGGATTAGGGGGGAGCACCTCAGAGTGTTGTTAAGGGTGATGGTGATGGTAGAAGGAAACATGTGTGGGTGAATGTGTTGACGCCATGGTGGTCGAAGTAGTGAGATAAACCTCATTCCATCGCTGGGTTACCGTTTGTTAAAAAAAAAAAGGAAACACTGCCATGGGAAAAGTGTGGATGAGAGGGATAACACTAACACAATGTGGATATATATATTTATATAATATTTATGTATCAGCTATATGCAAGTTTATATGCAAGTTCAGGGTAGTTAGTTACATAGGATCTACCTTTAAGTGCCCCACTAGCATTAGCCTGTACTACGTAGCATTGAACTTCGTCAGTTCAGTTCGCAAAGCTTCCCAAATCCATTCATTCAATACAATACAACAGCTTTATCCTATGACAGGTCTATGGACTTATCACCATGGGGGATAAACTAACCCAGTTGCAAGACGCTATTGATCAGGTAAGAATAGCTAGCAATGGATATTAACTTGTTCTCTAATATTTAGCTAACCAACCTTCGAATGATCAGCTGGCGCAGCAATTCGTCGCATCTATTTACTACATCAATCGGCATCACAACCTTGAGACGCTTGGTCCCGGTGATCAAATCCGAGATATAAAGCAGGAGCCAGACCAGCAAGAAGGTTAGTACCGGAACCACCTAGCTCATGTCAACCGAACCATGCCTCTAGCAATCGTGTGTGAATGCTGACCTTTTACGTCGATAACTAGTGGATCCTCATCCAGACGACGTCTTCAAGGCATCGCAAGTCGAGCTCGCTCAGGACCTCATTACGAAAGAGCAACAGATCGAGTACTTGATCACCCTACTTCCCGGCCTCGAGAACAGCGTGCAGGACCAGGAGCGCAATATCAAAGAGTTGGAAGAGGAACTAAAGGTCGCCGAAGTGCAACGACAAGAGGCCATCAAGGAGAAGGAAGAGACTATGGCCAAGTTGGACACAGTAATTCGTGGAATCAGGCGCCCTTAAGTCATGACTACCTACTCAGGCTACACTACGAACGGATGGAATTCGTGATACCCCGGCTAGGCGTTCCGGACCTTTGAGATAATTTGAATTTGGATTTTGCTCCTCGCACCATCTCTAGAGACGCTATTGACGTGACTAGGGTGAATTCGACCGTAGCCATGGTATTCTATACTGCTTTTTGACGATATGCCCTAAACGCCTCTTGCCATACCTGTGCAACGTGCTGAGACTGGGATAGAAATACGGCTATGCTTCATTCGACGACTTGAAGAATTGTGGAAATATGTTCCGTAATTCTTCTAGATGTCTAATTTGGTACTCGGATGCTGGTGTTCTTGGTACTGGTAGTCCCTCCTCAACGAGATGGACCGATGCCCAACCTAACTTCTTTGCGCCGACCACATTGCCGTAAGAGTCGTCTAAGTTAGGTTGATGAGATTTAGCAATCATGCCCCCGAATGCGTATGGAATTCAAGACAAAGAGGGTTGAACGTGGGTGCTTACCGACAAAGAAGCAATCTTCTGGTCGCTCCACGCCAGCTTCCTTCATAGCTTTAGCATACATGTCCTTATGTGGTTTGCAGATGATAGGCATCTGCGAGTAGTCGCAGTATGTTAAGCCTTCAAATAGATCATCGATGCCCAAGAGCTTCACTACCCTCCGGCCATGCGTGACGTACGCATTGGTCAAGAGCCATAACTTCACCTTGGACGTGTCGATATCCTCGAGCAGCTTCCGCAGTTCCGGGTTACGTTTTATGATACCCTCCAACGGCAGGGCGTCGTCGACCTTGGCGTTGTAGTCGAGGGGGTCGATCTGGTGGTGCCGTACCAGCCCCTCGATGGCGAGACCGTAGTTCTGGTAGTACTCTTTATGTAGTCTGAAGGCCTCCTGGTCTGAAAGACCGAGGTGGGTCGCAAAGTACTTGTCTATTAGATCCGCCATCAGGTCATGGACTTTGGTGCCTAGACTAGCAATCAGCATCGGCCGCCTACTTGATGTGGCTTAGTTGTTTAGGTCTAGACGTACTTCTAGGATAGAGACAGTTGTCTATATCGCTGGATGGAGAGTTAGTATATGTTGAGATGATCTTAATTTTGGAGGGGGGTAAGTTACAAGAATAAGATTGGTCTTGATGCTGCTGCCCTCTTGGGCTCTTCTGCTTGCGAACTCATAGCTTGGATTTCCTGGTTATAGGCAACAGAAAAGTCTTTATGGAGGATGGCTTGAGAGAAAGATATATATATATATATAAAATGGTAAATGTAAGGTAGTTTTTGAGGCGGTTGAGGCGGATGAGCGATCTCACATTGAATGATAGAAGCAGATAGCCAAGACTTTTTATACTTATTCTCGACCCCCCTTGTTGATTAGATATAGTTAATGGCTATATGTATTCCAGCTGTTTGAATATGTACTACAAAAAATCCGATCAATCATCATGTTATACTCTTCATGTTACTAACTTACTATGCCTACCTAGGGTAAGTACGAGTAGTAGTAGTAGCTGAGTTTTGAGTCACCGGCAATGAGATGCAAGGAGTGATGAGGTAATCAGAATGCAGTAGGTCAAGGTTTTTAGCATGCATGGCATTCAAGTTGCATGCAGTGCCATGCACCATCCGTTACAAACATTCAAAGTTTGAAGTGAGGCTGGTACATGCAGACCCACTGTGGATCTCTACTACTAGGTACTAGGTAGGTGCACGGTAGGTACATACATTCCAGGGCCTACAGTGGTTAAATCGACATTGAAAAAATAATAATAATAATTAGTTAATAGTTTCTACCTCCAGCTCAACTCGCCGTGCGACACGTCTCTCTCTTTCAAAACTTCCCAACTCCACACAACTTTTCGTGAAGAAGGGTTATCAAGACAATTCCCCTTTTCATCCGTGAGTACATGGAAGTAATTGACATTTGACCTTTTTATCTTCCAGTGGCCTACCTAGTATTATATCAATCTTTCCTTTACAATTCTCAGGTGGTGCAATCTGGTCTATTAATGTTTCTATTGGTTCTATCGCTAAGCTGATTCTATTTACCTGATGATGGCGACAGAACCGCCGATGGCATCTAGAATGATGCCTGGCTTGAATAGTTCATTAACGCCTGCTGATCTTAATGAGATACGCACTTATGAACAGATTGTTAACTTTCGAGATACAATTGCATCAGGAAAGCATCCCCGTATCAAAGTGGCTAAGCCCACAGTCCCTCAAAACCATACTTCTCTCGCGGCAGCACGCGTTGCGCCGTCATCTACGCAATCACAGTCACATCGAAGTATACCTAACCTCAACACATACCAGGCAGGCAATATGCAGTCGTTTCAAACAAACCTGCAGCAACCATCTGTCAATGTAGCTGCAACAGGCTCGACAGCTATCCCGGGTGTCTCGACCTCGAGACCCTTAGACTTTGGCAAGACAAACATTAACCCAGTTCTACTTGACAAACCTGAAAACTCCGTTAAGTCACAGCTTCAGATCAAAAGACAGGCTATTGAGCAAGATCTCAAAAATCAATTCGACCAGCGAAAGGCCTCTGCAAAAGGCTCTCTGCAAACTCCTGAGCAGATACTTGACTTAGATCTCTCTGATATTCTTGCCAAGGCAATGACCCTTACTGCTGTGCCAACAATGGCCGAGACTCCTAATATCTCCGATACGAGTGACTCGTTCGACAACAATACCTTTTACTCTAGCCAGCACCAAACGCCCGACTCGCGTGCTTCTCCCCGCAATCAGAACACTGTCTCTGCACCTCTATATCCATCCCACCATACACCTGTCTCTTTGGCTCAACATGCGGCACATGTGCTGCAGCAGCAACAGTTTGCTCCTCAGCACCTCCAGCAGTCGACATCGTCGTCCCAGCCAGGCTTACTTCGTGGCGCACAGCCAGTCGGAGCCATGGGTAGTTCCCTCCAACAAAAGCCAAATTCTAATACTCTAAACGCGTCTACACGCGACAATGCAGTCTATCCTACCACTGCAAGCCGTGAGGATGCAATGGTACAGTCACGTCAAACGCGGGATGTAGAAGCTCAAGTTATCAGTTCAGATAGTACCGCGAGTAGATCCGACAAATCTGGTAATGCAGATTCGGACCAGCCTGCTGACCACAGCCGTATTCAGAATTATCACCAACTTCTCCCTAGTGCCCACTTTAGTGAACGACAGACGCCTGTTATCCGCGCACACGATCTTCTACCTCTCGCACCCCAGCCTGCCCATGTTTCGCCCTTGGCGGTAGCTCGACGACCACCTATGCCCGAGCCTGACGTCAGCATCTTGCCTCACGCACCAGCTCAGGTAACTGCACTAAGACAGGAGCATAGAGTCGTCACTAGCCCAGAGAGCTCGCCACAAGGGGATAAAGGAAGCAGGAAGAAAGGCAAGAAGAAGAATAAGAGAAAGGCTGAAACAAGATCAGATGCTCCTGGATCTCCCTACATTAAGCCCGAGCCGCGATCCCCCTCGCCATTATCGGCACCTCCGTTCGCACGGCCTCAGAAGCGATTGCGATCTACTACTCAACAGGAGCAGGAACTGATGGTCTACGATGAACCACAGATCGAACGACCAATTTCTAGCCTCAATCGCGAGCCTTACAATGTTGCACGCAGACCGACCGAACGACCGCCTTATGGTTTCGAAAGGGTGGATGATCCCTATGCGAGACAGGGGCGTCAGTCCGTTGCCCCAACAAGCCAAAGACTAGAACGCGCTATATATGAGGAGCGACGACCGGATGGAACAGCCGTGCAATACATCCAGCGTGTCCAATCCCCTTATGCCTATGCTACTCCCTATGGTGCTGTAGAGCCACGGCCCTTGCGGGCAGCAAGCTATGCAACAAATCCTCAGTACCGAGAGGTTCCTTACCAACGTGAGGGACGCATGAGTGTGCGACCCTACGCTGATCGTGCCCGATCGCGATCCCCGGTCCTCATCGAGAGGCCGTCTCCTGTCATGGCACCCCCTGCCCCTCCTCGTATCATTGTTGATCAGTATGGTCGCGAGTATATTGATCCTCCTCGTGCTAGCACCATGGCTCGTCATTCGGTTGTACCAGCTTCGAGGCCAGGTGAGCGTGATCTTCTCTACGGAAGAGTACCAGCGCGTGCCCCGTCTCGCATGTCGGGAGAGACGTACGAAGAAGATGGAGTTATATACCGACGTGCATCGCCCACATATGCGCCTCGGCGGGTAATTACGCAGCCGGAGTACGGACTCGACTATCGGAGCTATCGAGAGCGTGATTACCCCGCGCAACCCATGGGCGTACCGGGTCAAGAGCTCATTCCGATCCGCGGAACAGCAGAAAGGCGTATGCCTGAAGAGATTCCAAGAGAGTATCTTCCTTTAGGTGTAAGCGGTCGGCCTGCGGAAGGCATGCCGTATTACAATCGAATTCAGAGTGTGCATCCCGACGTACCTCCTAGGCAATATGCTGCCAGTGTACATCCTGAGGTGAGAAGGGACGCGGTCCCTCCAGTTCGCGAATTCGGCATGATCCCGGCAGAGCGTGAGGAACTAAGACGTGAATACAGTGCTCGACCGGTAGAGCACTACTATGATAGACCGCCACTTGCGGATGGGGAAGCTATGTACATGGAGCGACGTCGGCCAGTTCAGCAAGATATTATCTATGCTGACAACCCTCAGAGGCCTATGTACCAGTGAGCATTATTCCTATAATGGATATTCTACGCCTATGAATACCGATATTATAGCCGACGATTGAAGGCCTAAGAGCACATAGTTTGCCTGCTGATGTTATTTGGTTTTGCGGAGGGTGATGGAGGATTTGGAGTTTGAGGCATTGCCGCAATGGTAAGAGCTATTCTTGAACTGCATATTAGCCTGGCAACAGTAAGGAATGGGTCTATGATGAGAGGTAGCATGAGCACCTTCACGATGCGAAGTTCGACAAAGCTAGGTCCCAGCTCCTAGCTCCACGAGCTGTACATAGAAGCTCTCTAATTCTAATTGACCCTGAAATATGAATTCCGAGAACCAGTCCGTGTTTCGCTAGTGATATGTTCAATTTAGATGGGTTAAATACCCTGATGTAACGGCCGTGGGCGTGGGGGATGCCCTTGTGACAGCACGAGTGAGTCGCAATGCCCATGTCATGCATATCCCACACATCCTGCATAGGACAACTTTTACAGTATACTGCATTTTGTCACTTCAATTTCGTTTGTGAAGAGGTATAGCCGAGCTACATATGCTCTAAAGTGCATGCCTATTACTCATGTATAGTCGGCTATACTAATCGGACCGCCAGTCATGCCGATTGTTCTATCTCGAGTACTGGATTAATGCTCAATATTTACGGTAAAATACCTAGGTAAGTACTTAGATATGTAGATATTCATTTCATAAAGTTCCTCTTTCTCATATTTCTATCTGATTTGGTAACGAGGTGTGGTTCAATACCTACCAATCCTCCCCTTTTTTTGTTATGGATGGGGGCGGCCAGCCCTACATGAATGTATGTACGTCCCACCACTTGAACCGGACTTTACGGCAAGCTCTTACATACATACACGCACCCATCACACTTCTTTTTTTCTTTTCTTGCCAGTTGCCTACGACGCGCGGCCCCCTCCATATGTTCTTGTCCAAACATAATGGCGAGGATAGGAATAACTAGTTAGAGAGCGAGAGAGAGAGAGAGCTATTTGGCTATACGAGTTATAGTATGTAGAAACTCGGGTTCTAAATCACGGGCCAGTCCACTCATGTAGGTAGGTACTAGGTAAAATAGGTACGGGTACGGAGCAAAGCTCCAGCGGCAGTAGGTAAAACCCACAAGTTTGGAAAGTTGGGCTCGCTAACGAGAACCACATGTACAAGCAAAGGATAGTTAATACTAAAATAAAAAAAACCTGCAACCTGCAATGCTCGTACGGATGATGGGATTACATACTTCCTCGGAGGGCCCAGCCCAGCGAACGCGGAAAAACTTGGAGGAAGGGGGATGGGGATGGGGATGGGGATGGGGGGGAAGAGGGTCCGGTTTTGGTTTAACCTTGACAAAGGAGAACATTAGAAAATGGCCCCCCTCCCCTCCATCCCCTTCTGCTTCTGCTTCTGCTTCTTCCCCTTTCGTGAAACCCTAAACTTATTACAGTAGTTGGCGGGATTCCTTTTTCCCAAAAAATTTTTTTTTGCTACGTGTTGTCTTCTTGCGCTTCTAGCATATATAGGTAGGTACACATAAGATAAGCCCTAGGGCAGTTTAATAACCCGGAACTGGAAGGGAGGAAATATGCACGCGCGGGGGAGAAAGATTTGCCAGCTCAGTGATGTAGGCAGGTACGGATGTAGAACAGGTTCAGTAGGCATAGGTATAGGCATGTGTATGTTACGATGTATGTAGGTTAGCTGTGTTATGTGCCGTGATCCACATATAGGTCTCATGACGAGTGTTGCAAATCGTATGTAATATGTATGGGATATATGGACAGTTTTTGATATGTCACCTATGTCACCTACCTACTATACATATGTAGGACCTACATGTAAGTAGGCAGGTAGATAGATCAAATGGGTATCTACTAATTATGTACGATGTACGAATTCCAAGTTATGAGAGAGTTCAAGGTTGCTTGAAGCTGAATGCATCGATGTGGGAAAAAGGGCGGGAAAATGGCTACTTTCGTACCCACGTCCTCAGACTTCTCATGCATACTTACCAGGTATTTATGTAGTACTGTATGTATATGTATGTAGCTGCAATAACTTACATGTAATTACTTACTACGACATCGAAGTAGTTATGGAATTCCCAATAGTTACCAAGTTACCTATTATAACTACAACATTGAAGTACAATATATGTTTGAGTAATAATTAGAACGAGATATGTAGCTGATGCTTGCCTTGCTTGCCTTGCTTGATCGGTTCCAACATCTAATTTACTTGGTCTTGATCTATTAAGATGACCCCCTGAAAAGGTCTAGGTAGGGTCCAGGTTTGGTATTCGATAGAAAACGACGCGTCCGTACCGCATTTGGCCAAAGTGGCCCCGTGTACCGTGGCTGTGTCTGTTTGGCATGCCTTCTAATACATACATAATACATTGAGCTTGGATGATATTAGCAACAGGCAGGTACAAAAGTTGGTAAGATTGATAGGGAGGCAAGGCAAGATGGTGAAATTTGATAAAAAAATTGACATCCTTGTAAGCCTGGTTCTTTCGAGCTCGTGTGAGTCGTGTCATCCAACTCCATTTTCCAAGTCTATCGAAGAGACCTTTTTTTTACTATGTATGGATGTATGGATGTATGGATGTAAGAGAGACATGGTTTAAGCCAGTTGTTGCGCAGATGAGACCCTATCACGACCCTATCACGAACACGTATCGAGAGATTCTCGAGGACAACTCGCACAAAAAGTAATAGACCTGGTTTAGTAAAGATAGAGATAGTTACTTGCCCTACATATGTACCTACTGATGTTCACATGCGCTACACACAATACTATACGCCGTAAGTCGTTTGCCCAGAATAAGCTATAAACTTCCACTAAGCCGGGAGATAATCCCGAGGAACGAATCTAAGGTGATTGGACTCATTGGAGCTTCGAGAAGGGATTCATTTCCGGACTGGGACATTCATGTTTAAGTTAACACCGTCGAGTATAACAAGTAGATGGTATGATAGTTATTGGTATCTAAGAAAATACGGAGAAATTCTGGAATTGACAATGCGATGCGATGCGTTAATAGATAGGTAACTAACTACCTATTTAGTAGATTATACGTGGATCTTCACTGCTAATGATGACGCGAAGAAAATGCTTGTCACCTTGTGGCTTTTGGAATTATTGATTGATCCAACATTGAAGTAATAAGTTGAAGTATTAAAGTATTAGTTAGCCTTACGGTTATATATATACATATGGTATAACTACATATCCACTTACATATCCACTTAACTATTGGTAAACAGGACTTGACTCCAGGTTTCTTTTCTTGGTGGCCCCACTTGGACTGGAATGAGTTTGGGCCATGCACCAACCGCGCTAAGCTCTCACACAAGAACAACTGAACAAGCACTTGAGAAGGCCAACCAGAACAGGGAAAGACACTCTGCAACTTTTCAGGGCTTTCACAGGCCTTTTACAGGGCTTATTTTGCTCGCATTTCCTCGCACCCATAGCCCTAACCTCCAGCGGGCTAACAACTTTCCCTCAAGTCAGGACTCAAGACTCAAGTGCTACCTAGTTAGTACCTAAGCTTGGAACCTTGGAAGCGTTTCCCCTAACAATTTAGTAACAAGATACGCTACTTGCATGCTACTTGATTGATGCTCATTCGCTGGGTCAAATTGTCAATGTATTACTAGGTACCTAAAACTAGATACCTAAAACTAGGTACCTGCTAGGTACTAGGTAAACTGTACTGTACAGCTCCAGGGCTTTTTGCTGACTGCAGCTTCGAACACACACCCGATTCTTCGGCCTTTTGGCTCGTTCCATCGATTCTTTCAGTCCACCACATCTCACGTCCCATTCCCAAAAAAACATCCGCCCATCCCATCCCGTCAATTCCACTTCTCCTCACCATTCATTCTCTCAACCTCTTCATCCCCCCACACTACTTATTAGGTAGTTGTAGAGGTTGTCGTCGTCCCTTTTTTTTCTTATTATTTTGAAAAAAGAAAGAAAGAAGAAAGAGAGGAAAGGTAGAGAGAAGCACACCCCGCGATACCTTCGGTTTTTCTCCTCTTCCTTGTTCCCTTTCCCTTTTTTTTTTCTAATCCCCTTCTTATTCCACCTTCTTTTAACTTCTACCCCCCGAGATACCCTCCCCTCCTCCCTCCATCCCCCATTTTACCAATCCGTCACTTCCCATTCCCATTCCCTTTCCCTTCCATCCCCTTTCCCCCTCAGCATCTCTCAGCACGCTTTCCTCTTCCATCGTTTCACCATGCAAAAGCTCGCCAATATGCGTCACTGGCCCGAGAGGATGAGCCCCAACTTCGGCATGTCGTCAAGACCGAATATGAACATGACCGCTATAAATCCGCACCAGAAGGCCGGAGCTCCGGGAGCTTCGCTTAGTCCCTCGCCTGCCGCCGACTCCACCATTCACTTCGCCTTCAATGTTCCCTTCGCTTCTGACCTCGCCGGTCCCAATACGGAGGAGATCCTCCATGCGACTGGCGAGGCCGTTTTTCGATGGACACACCCCGGAGACGCCCCCGATGACATCCCTGTCTACGAGTTACCTGTCCATGCTCAGAACTTAACCAATTTGCGAAACTTATGCAGGGAGCTAACAAAGGGACCGTTGCCAATCGAGGCCCACGTCATTTCGAGCTTGCCCAAGGGCTTCAAGTCGCAGGTCACGACCGTGTGCCTTTCCGGTTCCCCCGAACTCGTGCACAAGAGCCGTGAAACCATCCTGAGTGATACTCCGCTGGCGCTGGTATGATCTTTCTGCCTCCATGTGATGTTATAAAATGGCGCGTGGCTAAACTAGATATTGTAGAGGTGCACTACCGTCGACGTAGATTACGGACTGATTGTCGACTCCCAAGCTGGCGCGTTGCAGAAGAATGTCACCGATGCTCTAGACACCTTCGCCGTATTCTGTGGCGTTGATATTTTTATCCTAGGTCCAAAGCTTACTCCCACAGTTGACGGTCTCAACGGCGATGTTGAAGTCATTCGAGATCAGAGGTGGAGGGTTGCTATCTACGGAGATATCGAGTCTACGGAGCATGCCAAGACACAGGTTCTTATCTTCATCGACAAACTGGTATATATGATCCTTCAATGTCGTAGTAATGGTAAGAGACATGGTACTAACGTCGGGTTTAGCTTGGACGTCAACTAGACATAATGCGTTTTGAGAGCACATTACACCCTATCGTCTGTGGCCGTTCACGAAAGAACATCAAGTTGATCGAATCAGTGACAAATACGGCTATCTACTTCCCTCCTTTTGCTCAGTTGCACCGCTATTGCCCACCGAATGCCAGTCGTCGAAACCCCGAGGAGATATTCATCACTGGAGAGAACCCCCAGGGCATAGAGTTAGCCAAGCGTAAGATTCACGAGTTGGTCAACCGAACGAAGCTCTTTATCAAGGATGCTGTAGTATCCCCTCCAAAGATTGATAGCATCTTACTTGGACGTATGGACAAGGTTCGGAAAATCATGGAAACCAACGGAACCTATATTATGTTTCCCCCACTGGCATCTCAACGCAACATGATTCGAGTTCAAGGCGTCGAAGGACTTCACATTGAACGCACCATGAAGGAAATCATGTCTCTTGTATGCAGATACAGTCCAGTTCAGTTTCGATATACGCTAACTAGTAATTCAGGCCGGACAATTCTACTTCGCGTCATGGTGGATCCAGCAAGCTGGCATTTCCCAGCTTCCAGGCCCTACCGAAATCCGCGCCATGCTCGGCGATATATCTGCCAATTCCGATGCAGATATCTCCTTCGACAAGATGACCTTCACCATCAATGGTTCTGATGATGCTGTGAAACAAGCCCTGGGTGTACTATCCCAAATCAAGTTTGTAAACCAGACACAACATCAGATCCGAGTCAAGATCGAGCTTGCCAACGAGCACAAGGAGTTTGTCTCGGGCAAAAAGAATGGCAAGATCAACAAGATCATGACACAGAGTAGGTCAAATCGATACGAGTTGGTAAGTCAATACGTTTTAGCTAACATATCCCAGGCAATGTTCAGATTATCTTCGACAGCTTCAGGGAATACAACTTTGACATTGATGTTATTGCACCATCTTATGACTCGATGAAACAGGGAATGACCCTGGTAGAGCAGGAGATGCCTGCATCCATATCCTTCCATGTCCCTGACCAGTACCATAAGCGAATTATTGGCATTGGGGGTCAACACATCCAACGTATCATGAAGAAACACTCGGTCTTCGTCAAGTTTTCGAATGCTATGGATCGTGGTAAGACCTTCTCCAGCTCGACCAGCTCTGTCAAGGTTCGAGGCATATTAACAGACCGACTAGGAGGAATAGGTCGTGAAGATGACGACGTCAAGGTTGACAATGTTATTTGCCGAACCCCGGCTCGTAACGCTCAGAATCTCGAGCTTGTGAAGACCGAAATTCTGGATATGGTCGATAGAGCGGTAAGTTACAATGATATCCATCACAAAAGCAATGCAGTAATCTAACGGATAACTACGCAGCACTCCGAATTCACTTCCCAGATCGTTCACGTTGATCGCCTGTACCATCGACAGCTTGTTTCTCGCCTGCAAGAGATCGAGGAGCTTGAGAAAAAGTGGAACTGCAAGATCATCTTTCCCAGCACCGAGCAGGCAAGTGACGAGGTTACTGTCACTGGTCCCGAATGGCAGGTGCCTCTTTGTGCCGATGAATTCTTGGTAAGTCTAGCAGAATTTGAAATTCTACATGGGAGTGTATTGCTAACATTATTCTATAGGGCATGGTCCCTGAAACTCACGAATTAATCTTGACTCGATCTTCGTCTTTAGTCAAGTTTCTTGAGTCACCTGAATTCGTCAACGAGCTCATTTCCAAGCTCAAGACTCAGCATGAGATTACACTTGAAGTACACGAAAACCCCGAAGAAAAGACAGACGATGGTGAGCGTACCATGACTTTGCTCTGGAAACTCACCCGCAACAACACCGGTGGCCTTCGTGATGCAATTGATTTCCTTATGCAGCAATTTGCTGCCGCAAGTGTCGATGCTACCGTCGTCAAAGGTGCAATTCCCCGTCCGAAGTCAGACTCGTTCGAGGACTCGTTGCAGTACTTTGATTCAAAGCTGCTTCAGCACGCCCCTACTCCTCTCGGGACGGACTCGCCTACGAAACCGGCCTTTGGCGAGGACGTAACTCAACAAAGGACTACAACGATCTTTGACAAGCTTCGAAAGCCTTCTCAACTTTTGTCTTCTCTTGATCGCAGAAAGAACAGCTCTCACTCGATGAACACATTCTTCAAAGGATCTAACAATGTGTCCAAGTCATCTCTCATTTCGATTGACTCGACTCGCAGTTTCAATGCTGATCGAAACCCCTGGAACGATAGCGGCGTAAATCTTCCAGACGAGGAGAACAACCCTTGGTCGAGCCGACACTTCGGTAACGGCTTCGACAACAAACTAACGCCTGGCAACATTCCACATGGCGGCGACATCACGCCACGACACAGCACGCGCGCGTCTGGCGATAGTGGTCGGCCGTCGACTTCTCATTCCACAAATTCAGGATACCCCGGTCCGATTGGACCTTTCCGTTAGATTCCGTCTTTTAGATGCTCTACGTGCAATACCCTGGCTGGATATACCCTGGCGTACAAATACCCGATCCCTATGATCATGCATCGGTCGGCTCTGATTTTTAACCGTTGTTTTTTCTCCTCGTTGCTCTCTATAGTTTTTGTTTCCCCTTTGCTTTCTTTTCTTTTCTTTCACGTTTTCTTCTTTTTTTTTCTCTTTTGGGCTTAAAAGGTTTACTGCGTTAGTCTTCCCTTTTACAGGCGGCCGGGCGAAGGCCACGGACGGTTTGACTTGACGCTTATATCCACGAGCACATCTGGACATGATACCACGAATTGCGCAAGGCGGGATACGGCGTTGCAGATTGGAGCGGGAGGACGCCGTCGGATGATACCACAGAAAAAAAAAACGCAGTGAAAATTTGATACACATTATGGTGTGGGAGGGGGGAAAGAAATACCAGTTGTTGTTGCGTTTGCTCTCGATTAGGCGGCGTTGGTTTCTATAGGACTTAGCTTGGAGGCATCCCGATCGGATATCCTACATCCTCATCACACCATCCATCGCAACGTGAGTGACGGTACAATAGCTAGTTCTGCCAAGATGGCCACAGCTGTGTTCGGAGAACATGGGGCGGACCGGAAGGGAGATGACTGGGGAAGGTAGACTGGAACGCGGACCGAAAGGATGGAGGGAAATATACCAACGACGGATGATTGATGGCGTGGCTAGCAGGCTACGGTTGTACGATATCGCAGAGATGATAGGCAATGATACCCTCTGATTCTAAGTGCTTATTTTCTGAACACCATGTTGACTTTGATGCATTTGGTGATTGGTGATGTCCGCGTACTAATTAAATTACCTATAGTGCCTACGTACTTGGAAGCTATTCATGATTGTCATATTGCCCAAGTGACATGCACATAAGTGATGCAAAACGGGCTATGTGAGGTTCAAGAAAAAGGGGAAAGGGGAGGAAGCAAAAGAGAGAGAGAGAAAAGGGAATAGGAAAACGAAAAAGAAGAAAAAGTCAAAAAAGAAAATGGGTTGACGAAATGATTGGGCAAGTGGATGTCAATCTATTACCGTACTTGTCCAAGGTCACGCGAGCAGGGAAGGGATAGATAGTAGAAGTGGCATATTGTTGGGTTTCAGCAAATAAGGTGAAGTTAAATTCAGTCACGATGGGTTTCTCTTTCCCTAGGAAATGTTAAGTTCGTCATGAAGCAAGTAAGTTGGGAAGTTGGTAGGTCTGTATTGTACCTAAGCAGGTGTGTAGGTGGTTATGTACCTGCCTAACGGTTAGCCTAATCGTTCAGCTTCTTTTTTTTCTTTTTCTTTTTCCTGTCCGTTAGTTATTTCCATCCGATGTGTTGGTTATGTTTGATTGAATGAAATAATTTATTCGCTCAACTTGCTCTTGCTTTTGCTCTTGCTTTTTTTGTTCTTGCTCTTTTTCCCTCTCCCTTGCGTTTTGAAACTGTTTCTTCGATTATTGCAACTTCATACTTTGAATATTTACACTACAATATTCGTACATTGGATGTGTGCATACTTGACATTAAATACATACCTACATACCTAGGGTAGGGTACTGTACAATACAATACATTAGGTGCCTAAGGTAACTTAGATGTAATTGGGTATATTCAAGTTACAACCATATGCATCAATCTTGGAATCAGTCATACGCCTACTACACATAGGTACTTACTCACCTACATACATACATACATACATACATACCTCATAGTACATTCATAGCGAGCGCACAGACAAACGCCATCCATCTCTCACATATCACATAAGTCAATACAAAATCCCCCGCCTTACACCCTTACACAGTTTCATATATCCAATACATACCCAATACCACCCTCCACAACTCTTTACTCGCCTGCAAAGAAATCAAAACGTAAGCGACATATAGCCAATCAGAAGCCATGCCGACCACGTCGGACAGAGAAGATCCTACTGCCGAACCCGGGCTCGGAGCTGTAAGTTCCTTGGGTGGCCTCGCCGCCGTCGTGGCCGAGAACGCTGTGGACGACACCGAGGACCTGCCGGATGACGACACAGTCGAGGTCAAGAAGACCAACAGTTATGGCCGCCGTCGTCACAGCAATCACAAATATCACAAGATCCATGAGAAGCTCGACTCCTCCTTTCACCCCAACATTCGTCCCCTGACCATCTCTGATCTCGAGAGCTGTGTTGTGCTCGAGAATGCAGCTTTTACTGATCCATCTCATCGATGCAGTCGAGAGAAGGTAAGTCATTTTTTCTTTTCTTTCCTTTCTGTTTTCTTATAAATTATCATGTCCTACTTACCTACCTGCTTTTCTTCCTCGCTTGAATTGGAGTTTTAATCCATGATATGAGATTGATATGACATATCCCTTTTCTCCCCCTCATCTCATTCACTCACTCCACTATTTTACTCCTTTCCGTTCCTTTCCTCTACGATGGTCAAGTACCCATTTGCGATTGCATTTTCCCCTTTTCATACTGTTCATAAATATGCATCAACATATCCTCTAGTCTGTATCGTGTGCTGCCTATTGTATAACTTATTAACTTGTATCCAGTTTGAGTACCGCCTCACGGTTAGTCCTGAGCTATGCCTCGGGCTGTTCTGCACCATTGTCCCTGATAATGCCAATGGTGTCAAGCTCAGCACATTCCCGCCGTCACATCCTGTCGAAACTGGCCGTAAGGATGGTGCCAGGAGCGTCTTGTTGGCTCACATCGTAGCGACCAGGACTGATGGTATGTTTGTGACTGACGAAGCTATGGACTATCCTCGTGATTTTCGCGTTAGCAAGCACAATACCTCTGGTCTCGGTCATAATGACACTGGGTCAACCGTTTGCATTCATTCGCTAGCTGTACATCCAGAGCTACAAGGGTGCGGCCTCGGAAGGTTGATAATGAAGTCCTACCTCCAACAGCTCAAGAACTCTGAAATAGCCGAGTCTTGCGCACTCATATGTCAAAACGTAAGTGATATTCCCTCCGGCATTTCCAGTTTCAAGTAGACCCCTATAGTCTAACACTGTATCTTAGCATCTTATCGCTTTCTACGAGAGATTCGGTTTCGAGTACCTAGGAACAAGCGGCGCCACGATAGGCAGTGGGGGTTGGCACGACATGTTCCTCAAGGTCGACAATCTTCCCCCGTACTCGATGAAACCAGGTCGAGGCTGATTTGTCGATTGGAAAAAAACTTTGGTTCGGGGCTGGCTCAGCATAAGTATTACCGAGAGTCTGACAGTGCTGACGTGGCGGATGATGGGCACCACCAAGACTGGACGGGTGAGATGGGGAAAATTAGCATTACATGTAGCACGGGCAATACCTTGCGCATTCTGATACCCGGATATGAACACATAGCTGGTATGACGGCATTTACACACACACACACACACACACATACGCATATGGAACGGGAGCCGGTTGCATTTTTGATTCCCTCCTACCTATATGGCAGAGGGTTAGGGGGGAAAGACTCATCACATTCTCACATAGATCTAGAAAGCTACGGCTTATAGACTTTGCTGTCTAGATAGATAGTGCGCAAATACACATTTTTCTACTCTACTCCTGAATATCCACCATCGCCACCGTGCAATAAGTTTTCTGAGTGAGCATTAAGACAGTTGTGAGTTAGAAGTCTTGAGTACTACGAGGATGAAGTGTAGACTGTAACTCATGCTGATCTGTGTGATGGGCGATCACAGCGTCCATGCCTAGGTATGTACCTTCCTAGGTACCCATGTATGGATTTGGTTGGCTGGCTGGTTGGTATATCCAACGCCGTGGCAAGGGGCAAAGGAACGACCGACCGACCTGCCATCGCAACCTCCTCCTCCTCCTCCTCCTTAGGGGCATCATGCGGCGCGTAGAGCCCAGCCGCTCTAGGACTATCTGTCTGTCTGTCTGTCCATATCCATTGGATTTCCTGTTTTTCTTTCTGTGAGAAGGGACACGTCCGGTTTTTTTTTGTTTTTTTTTTCGGCGTATCCTACATACCTACAGTAGGTACATGTCAAAACCTTGAAGGGCATACATACACACATACATACATACATGACGATGAGGGAGTGTTGCCGTCCGTTGTTTCCTCCCTCCACGTGAGATCGTGTCCAGCGTAGGTATCGCACGGTACGGTACATTGGTCTGGGGTGGTTGGTTTGGTTGGTTTGGTTTGGTTGGTTATACGGCCTCCTCCTCCTCCTGTCGGTTGGTCTGTGGCGGGCGGGCTTAATATGTAGGTAGGTAGATCTGGGGCGTTTGAGCTCGAGTATAGGTATACTAGGTTAGGTAAGTTGGTAGGTAGGTACCTACCTGCCTACACAACGAAGATGCTACCGTTCTTCGAATAAAAGGGGAGTGAGACAGACGGATGGACGGGGAGAGGTGGAGATCTAGAGCCTCGTGAGAATATAGGAAGCATATAGGTTAAGGAGTGCATTCATTGCCTAGACGAACCTAGGGTACATTCAACGTGGACGAGAACAATTTACTTGCTTAGATAGTTATGTATTCTTCACTTTTCCACTGTCTCTCTCCTGAACGTCCACGGGAAACAAAGGAACTAAAACTGAGCAAAAGACAACTCCAATTGATTCATCATGATAAAAGGTCTACGAATTACTATGTACCCTAATACCTAGTAAACTAACTACTCCGAGGATGTAACTGCAACTGTACCTACTTACTGTAGTTGTAGTAGTTACTGTAAAGCCTCCATAGTTCAGCCGTCTTAATTCGCATGTTAGGCAGTTTCTTGATTTTCTTTTCATTCATCAGCGAAAAAAAACTCATTCCCGTATTTACGAACGCCATAAGCCCATAGGATATCCGATGTATCGTCGTCTTGAAAAGAGAATCATCATGTACAGATAGATAGCAGCGAGGTATACTACCATACTATACTGCTTAACGATGGGACGCCTTGCCCATAGTTCGTTTACCGGCAAACTGTGAGTGTGGTTAGCAATAGACCATGCATGTTGTGTAGTAAAGAGAATAAGGGGTTACATACCAAATGCTTCGGCAACGTAGCACCGATATGTCGATCTGCTTCTCCTTGTCGGGCCATTCTGTTCATCTTCCTCTGGCCTAGCTTGGCCTGCCTATCAGCCTTGGTTCTCGTCAACTCATCCACGACACCGTCGTCTCGTCTGTTCGTTGCCGGCTGGCTTCTGGCTCGGCTCTTGGAGCGTAGTCTATCCCTCGGTGTTTCGTCTATATCCATGGCATTGGTGTCTTCGGTGCCGAGGCGGCTTCGGGTCACGGAACGACCACGAGTGACAGTATGTGATCGGTCCTTTAGATGTAGGTCCTGTGTATCAACACCCATCCGATCAAGCTTGTCTTCAAGTTGAGATAGAGACTTCTTGATAACCTTACGAGGCAGGGCCGCGCGATTCTTGACCCTACGCATTCTCGACTCATTGCGAATAAGCGATTGTTTGCCTCGGATTATCTCTGCCTTGACTCTGATATCAGCCTCCTCCACATCGTCAATCTCCTCGTCCGAATCGTAGTATCCTTCAGCTTCAAGTCGTTCTTCCTCTTCTTCTAGGGCTTGTAGCTTGGCGTCGATCTCGGGATCAATGTAGTCGTAAACGTTCTTGCCGTCAAATATCTCAGGTATCTTATCGTGCTTCCATTCGGGGTTGTCGAGGATATAGTCAGCCTTTAAGTCAACGTTGTAGACACCAGCACCACCATTCTCGGCCTCGACGTCACGGGCCAACTTGCGTCGCTCGGGATCATCCTTGTCAAACTTCTTCATTGCCTTTATAGCTTCGGGGATAAAGGTCTCACGCGTAGCACCACCCATAGGCTGCGCCACGTGGATTCTGGTCATCACATCGGCCAATCTGCCACCGACGGTACCGCTGCTCGAGGTGCCGGCCTTCAGTTTCTGTGCAACTCTGTCGGCGAGAAGGCGCTCGCAGGCGGCGTTCTTCACTTCCTGCACGCCCTCTTGCGTATTGCAAGAGAGTTGGAGCAACTCTACCTCACCAGAAGAGATCATGGCTTGGAGTTCGCCACTAGTCTTCTCATCCAATTCCTCAGGTCGAAGGATGTCGATCTTGTTGATGACAATAAAGACTAGTTTGTTGGAGAATAGAGGCTTGATGCTCTTGAACAGTTGCATCTGCGCTGCAACTGAGTAACCGCACTGCTCTGAAAGATCCATGAAGTAGAGGATAGCAGATCGCAAGTGGGCAATAGCGGTAATCGACTGCATTTCGATGGTGTTCATCTCTTCTAGAGGATGATCTAAGATACCCGGACTATTTCAAGTTAGCGTCGCTAGAAAAGAAACCACCGCGGCCTCCTCATCCTTCACTTTCAGGACATATCAGGGGGAATGTCTGTCACTTACGTATCAATGGCCTGGAATCGGAGGTACTTGTAGTCGAAGTGGCCGACGAACAGGCTCTTGGTAGTGAAAGCGTAGGGCTGGACATCGACATCGGCTCGGGTGATGCTGCGCAAGAAACTCGATTTGCCGACATTAGGGTATCCGCAAATCAAGAGAGTGCGGGTAGTAGGATCAATAGAGGGAAGCCGACCAAGATGTTGGCGGACTTGATCGAGGTATAGCAAGGGATCCTTCAATCGCTTGGTGATGGTGGCCATTCGACCAAGAGCGGCTCTCTTGAGCTGCTTGCATTGGAACAGACTCTGCGCATACTTCAGAAGGCGCACGTAGTCTCGAGATATAGTTTCAATAAGATGCTTTGCTGTGGATAGGTGACCAAGCGCGATACGGAAATGGTCGGCATCGTAAAGGGTGTTAAGAAGATCCTTATGGAACGGGTGAATGTCCTGAAGACGAGGGAAACTGTCGAGGATCTGGGCAAACTTCTCGGAGAAGGTCTCTTGGGTAAATTTGACCTTTCGGGTGTAGAATCCTGTAGCGAACTGGTTAGCATGTTGTGCAAGCATAAGAGTGATGTGCTGAAAGGCAGTAGAGAGAAGACGAACCTCTGATACGACTGATCTTAAATCCAGCTCGGATCTGGGTGGGTAGACGTCGTTGAGTTCTGGACAATACAATGTCTAGAAACTCCTCAGACGTCGGTACCGGTGCAATATCCTTCCAAGTAGTCTTCATCTTGGGCGACAGATGATGCGACGAGGTTGCTGTTGAAAGTTGACTTGAACAGCGCTGTCGAGTATTTTTTAGAAAACCCAACTAAACCTTTTTTTGGTGAAATGTTTGCGGAGTGGAGGATTATGGATAGTGTGGGACGTGGGATTGGTGGTGCGAGTCTTTCTCTGCGAAATCTTGGCAACAAAAAGAAAAAAAAATCTTATCGATGTGATTAGTGCACATCACTAATTCTTTATCTAATCTTATCGATACCTACTGGATCGCGTTATTAATCTATCGCCGATAACCTTATGTTAGTTAGCGGGATCGCAAAGTGAACGAATATCCAATTTTGCGCAGGACGTCACTTTTTAACTTTTTATGTTAGCGGCAAGAACACTGAACGCTGAGATTGAGAACATTAAATAACGTGCTCAAGTGTCTCATATTCTATAGTACCTTCCTACTAGTACATGATAGTTGGTGGTAAAGGAGTACATAGAAAGAAGCAGGTGCCAAGTAAGTTCATACCCAATTACCTCATGTATCTTTTACAATTATACCTCCAGCTATAATGCTTCAACTTTAACTTGGAACTTTGCTTTTGTTACCCCGCCATCTCCTTCGTATCCCCTCACTAAAAAAAATGGAAATCACCTCACCAATATAGTCCAACTTTGCTTTACTCACCTAATAATTAAGCCTGTTCAACCTGTATACTCTTTTTTGCTTGCCATGCTCTTGCTTTTTCATTGTCTCTTTGAAAGCTGACAGGATCAACTTAGGAGTCTCGGGTCCCTAGTCCTCAGTCCTCAGTCTCATCAAGTAGTAAGGGTGTGCATGATAGCCGACCATACTTCCCGACCATGAGTCTCCCACAGTACAAGAAAGATTTCCTACGTGCCGCCGTAGAGGGTGGTGCCCTACGATTCGGATCCTTTGAGCTTAAGTCAAAGCGGACATCCCCCTACTTCTTTAACGCTGGCGACTTCTACACCGGCGAGCTGCATGTGCCTATTATGGACGCCTATGCTCAAACCATTGCCGACAGCGAGCTAGCTGATAGCTTTGATGTCATCTTTGGTCCCGCCTACAAGGGAATTCCCTTAGCCGCTACCGTGTTCTACGCTCTAGTCAAATTAGACTTTGAGAAGTACAGAAAAGCTGCCTACAGCTTCGATCGCAAGGAAGCCAAGGATCATGGTGAGGGTGGTAGCATCGTCGGCTCTCCGCTCAAAGGAAAGCGCGTTCTCATCATCGATGATGTTGTCTCAGCCGGCACCGCTAAACGCCAGGCCATCGACATGATTCGCAAGGCTGGCGGCACCGTGGTAGGGATCATCGTGGCCCTAGACCGTCAGGAGACTTTACCAGGTGGCGACGGCAAGACAAGCGCTATCGGTCAGCTGAAAAAAGAGTACCAGTTCCCCATCATCCCTATCATCAAGCTCGACGACATCATCGGAGGCATGAAGGGAGTCATCTCGGATGATAACATTAAGCAAATCGAGGAGTACCGTGCCAAGTTCGGAGCTACCGATTGATATTAGAATATGGTGACAGACGGAACCTCTTTTCAAGTATCATTGGGATTGGACATGTGGGGGTTATATCTACATATAACTTACTACTTACTTATCTTGTAGACGGACTGATGAAAAAGTGCCACAGTGTTAAATCGATCGGATAGACAAAAAGAAAAGGAACCACGGGTTGTTATACCTAGCCCCTTGCGGGCCAAGCTTTCGGAGATATCAGGGGTAAGGCACGTGCTTACCCGTCCATCGGCAAGTGAAAGATACGGTTAATTGCAAACCTCGTATTTAATTAAACGATATACTAATATCTTACCTCCGATGCGGCTTTGTGAGTGGCGTTTTCAATTCAACCTCATCTTCCGAAAATAAGAAAACGAAGAGAAAAAAAAAGAATTCAGAGAGATCTACTTAGCTGTCGTGTGACTTTAAATGACCACATGCTCAACAACCACTCTGACAGGTCATGTAAAGTTTTTTGACATCCCGGAATACATTATCCTAGGGCTTGCTTGCATATAGGAGAACCACACCGAAAAAAAAGTCCGAGAAAAAATTTATTATTAAAAAAAAAAACAGAGTATTAACGAAAAAAAAGAAACCCCCAGCTCGCTCGAGTGTTCACCGCCTCCGCTATCAAACAACCCGAACACACAACACACAAAGCTTACGTTATCGAAACACTCACGACATATATCTACAACGGGTCGGTGAAGGAGAGAAAATTCGGAAACGTTCTCGGAAATATGTCGTTGCTACAGTAAGTGAATCATACCTACATACATACATACCATACTACCTTCTGTACATACATACTACATACATATTTCTTGCCAATTGGCATGTGACCGCTCATCTTTCACCGTCACTCTCACCTTTCGGGCGTCACCGACTTGAACTGACCAAGTATTTCCTTACCTAACCAAAAGATCCTTTCGCAATCTGTCACCCAAGATGCGCATAGGCGTTGGCTTGGGCTTACTAGCATGGGGCACTATCGGATTGCAACTTTCGGACCGTGCCGAGGAGAAGTTTGGCTTCAAGCCCACCGAGGAGGACAAGGCAGCCCTCGATAAGATGTTGCCTCACATCACTCCCATTGATAAGAATGGAGATGCTAAGCGGTGAATATAATGTCATTATCGTTGTCGTTGTGGTTATGTTATTGTTCATGTGTATATGTCTGATGTCTGGGGGTGGCTGTTTTTTTTTCTTGCCTCTTTCTCCTTCGAACCGGCTGCTTTTGGGGGCTGGTGGACCGGACCTATCGGATCCCTAGCCACAAAAAAAAGGCCAGGCCTGTCTACGTACATACGTACATACATACACTTACACCTGGCCCGTGTGGAGGAAGGGGGAGTTCACGCCTTAATGACCTAACCTACGTGTTCAGGATGTTCGAGTGGCAAATTCCGGGGTTGGTTCGCTTCTCCAAGCAGCTGTCACAGTGCTAAATTGGAGGTCGAATTGGCTTGGTATTCTGAAGGAGGAGCATCACAAGGGGGAAGAAAGACGTGTATCTTTCCCGTAAGGGGGAAAGGAGGAAGGCTATCGAGAGACGGCGTCTTGTTGTATCAGTGACTTCTGCCACAAGACCCTCCTCCCCATCCTCGTTTCCCTTTCCCTTCTAGGTAAATTCTAGCACTTCGTTAATGCCATAATCAACCCCTGGTCTGCGTCTAGGATAACTCGTGCTAGCTCAGCAAGTGTAAACCGACAACAAGACCAACAGCAGAAACCACAACATACGTGTTAATCGTGTTGTTGTCACGGGCATCAAGTGCCAACTTGTTTTCCCCCCCGGGGAAGGGGAAAACCGAAACCAAACCAGGGTATGTTCTCCGCGTGAGCGCGGTGGCATTGCGTTTGCCAGAATAGCCGCCGTCAGCCTGCCACGTTTGATAAACCAGCATGGTCCTTGCCGCTCTATCTATCACTTTTTTTCTCTCGTCCAAGGTCTTGTTGCCGCGTGTGTGGCCCTGGCCCCTTTTGGTGTGGTTTTGCCGTACGACAACAAAACAGAAAAAACACACAGACGATTTTATGTATATGCGGGAAATGGTGTAAAAAAAAAGACAAAGAGAGATACTACACTAAGAGAGGCAGAGAATGTATGTGTACCTTACCCTACCTCTCTCTCGCTTGATGCATATACCGGGATCTAGTGTGGTATGTACAGCTACCTTGGACCCTGACAGGGGGGTGGGGGCGTGGAGGATTAGTGTATGCCCCCTGCGAGGACTGGAGGTATGTACAGTACATCGACTAAAATCGTCGAAAGTGTTGTTTCTTTCTTTGTCTTCCACGACCATTGTGTCTTCTACCCTGGGTTAGGTTTCTATAGAGTAACTTTTTATTACTGCCTTGTCCAGGCCCCCGGCAAACGCAAACGCAACGCACGTACATATCATCCATGAAGAAGACAAGTTTGGGAGGTAGGTAGATAGTGTAGCAGCCGCTACGTGGCTGGCTTCTCCCGCCTGCTATACGAACGACATTTGATGAGGATTAGGTTCTAGGTTTGGACAATGAAACGGTAAGTGATAGACTAGGCCATTGTTGTTGTTCTCGTAGCCATTGCTGTCGGCAATGGTAGCCGCTGCTGGTGGCGGTTATTACCATTGTTCTTTTGCTGTTGTTGTTCGAAAAAAAGCTCCCTTGCCTAGTGTGTATGTAGCCCTTCGGCCTATCATTCTACACAATGCGCACACACACGTACCTGGGCCTAGGATATGTAGAGTAAGTAGAGAGGTCCGCTCCTGCATCTCGGTAGGTACCCAATAAACCACAACTCGCTTGTTCTTGGGTCGGGAACCGTTGTGGTTTATTTTTTGTCTTTGTCTTTCTCAGCTATGTAGGTTAGCCATTGTGTCTACCTGGGTAGCTAGCTAGCTGGTTGTATGTACATGTAACTATGTGTATATGGATGTGTATGTATGTATGTATGTATGTATGTATGTAGGTTGTGTCTTGTCCTTGAAGCAGGATACAGACAATACATACATACCTACCCTGGTATCTACATATGTAGCAGATACTTGGCTACTCATCTACGGAATGCCTTCAACTGCACCAGTATACCAAATCGATCATTCATACATACATACATGCGTGCGGACGCACATACATACGCTTAACTATACACTCACTACCCCTTATGAAAAACATACACAATTGTTCTAACAATTCGGGGGGAGGGAGGGGGGGCAAATTCCCTGGTGAAGAGATTAGTTATTCTGTAGAAGGAAAAATAGAAGGCGAAAAGAACACACACCCAAAAAAAAAAAAAAAAAAAGGGTCGAATCCATCTCTTCTAGAAATAACTTAGTTACCACGTAACTAACTACATAATTTACCCAGCTAGCTAACCAAAATCCAAAATCCTTGTCCTATAACTGTACCTCGATATAAGTCTTAGTTATTAGAAAAAGAGGTGGAATAAAAAAATTGGAAAGAAATGTAACTCTCAATCGGACGTGGCCCACATCGCTCCATGTGATAGATCATATTTTGTATATCTCGACCCAGAGAGGCGGGAAGGAAAGAAAGATTTGTGAAGTAAGAAAAAAAAAAACAAAAAGCTGCATAAGAGACTCGATTGAGTTTTAGGGGAAACAATTGAGGCGCAATTGATGGACTTGGATGAATATCTTGTAATATCATGTCGACTATGTAGATAGGTAGATTTCATGAAGTTGTGTAGCTTAATAAGCCAAGTTCAAGTAACGAAGATAATGGCCAGTCGAGATCACTACATGGAGAAAACTGAGGTCTAAAATATGTCTGTCGTCTTACTATTACTACTACTAACCTAACCTTAGGTTAGTCTCTAGGGTCTCCTTTTTTCAGTGAACAATGAAACCATATACTTTATTTGCTCCGATCTGATAATCTATCTCATCCCGTAACGTTAGTTAAGGTAAAATAAAAATAACATGCGTCAATGCGTCCGCCCCTTCCCCCCGACCCTCGCAACTCTCTGCTCGATGCTCCTCCTTTATGAAAAATGCGTACCACGAGAAACGAGGCCACCTCCAGACTTATTCACCGGTGAATGAAGACGTAAACATCATGATCACCTCCTAAGAGGGGTTTGTAGACCGCCTTCAAAGCTGGCCGGAATCTAATCATCGAGTCTAAATGCGACGCCACAGCCAGTCTAGTTTGTTGCGAGCCAACCCGGAAAATGCACAGAAATTGCCGCCGTCAACCCGATCCGATGCAGAGAAGAATCGAAACTTTTGTGAGGCCAGTAGGAGAGCTGAAATGATAATAATGATAATAAGGAAAATAAAACATTGAAACGAAACGCCATATGTATGCTTTTTGCGGTTTTTCTTTTTTTGCGATATTGATGTCATGTTAAACCGGATAAGAGTTGCTGTTCCATTCCTCAGACTTCCGTTTTGACCGTAGGCATGCTAGGAGACCCCATCACTGATCGTAAGGGCTTGAAAAGTTGTGCCATATCCACCGTGAGATTCCCAACACCATATTCATTGTCGATTTCACTGACAGATCCCAGTTCCTCGCCTCTCGAGGCTCCATCCGACATCACCCACGCCTTCACAGACTTAAGCAGTTGAATAACCTGTCGGAACCGAGCATCCGGGGCCATCTGTAAATCCACCACTGTAGTATTCTTGAGCATCCACTTAGCCAACCAAAAGAAGTGTATCCCATCACGACAAAAGCCGTATCGCCGAGGACTGGAAACCGATGGGGGGAATTGAATTGCCATGTCCATGTCCCAATACGACTTAAACTTATCGAGAGCAGTACATATGGCTTTGTATGTCTGTGCTGACACACCCGCGACCGGCGTACCGTTTGCACTGTTGTTAGCGCTGACATTTCCGCTTCCCGTATCCGAACCCGTTGCAATGACCCAGTCATTTTGTGAAAGTGGTGTTGCACCACCATCCAATGCCGCTATACGGCCTTGGATCTGAGCACGTCTGATTTGAGCAAGTATGGCGTGGATGAGAATGAACTTCCCATAGAGGTTCGTGCTGCCGGGATGTATTTGGTATGATCGATGGAACAGAGCGGTGAGTGTGAGATTCAATTCAGGCTGTTTTGTGCGTTGAGAGCCATCCGGATTCTTTGCCCTTGCCGCTTCAGTTCCGTATAAACTCAAGGCTTGCGCGCAGTCCAACGCCGTCTGTGCTTCCCATGCTGCATCGTCTGCAGGAAGTGGGATACGCATCTCAAACGCGTCGATTTGAGGATCACAGTTGAAGTATAGACCACGTGCGACATCAAGGAGGTATACCATATACATAAGCCGAATGCGCGATTCTTGCTCGACCCACGCCGCCCAGTTAAATTGCCCAGGATTGAGATCATTCAAAGCGATTTTTTCTCGATGGAATATGCTGTATAAAGACGGATCGTTGTTGACTTGCAGTAAATCGAACCTCCTGGAAATGTCCGCTACCAAAGGAAAGAGTCTCCTAGCACTTTCGCGCTGGACAGGCGTACCATTCCATATGAGAAGTGCAGACATCAAGATGAGAGCTTGTAACCGCTCAATATCTTTCTTATTCTTGCCATTTCTGAACTTGAACGACGCTTGGGCGTTACCGCTGGCGAACAAATCGCAATCGCGCTCTAGTGCTATCTTCAGAAAATTCATTATCTCGCGAACGTTAGAAGATGCTACACGACCAGAGTAACAAGCGCCAATACAACACATCGCTGCAATGAGACCAGTGTAAGTCTCCATAATACGAAACGTGGGAATGTGTAAGAAGGAAAAGTGAACGTGAAAATGGGTGTACGATTCAAGAAAATCTTTAATATTATTTGGCGAAAAGAAGTCGGTTAAGCCAGCGGTCTGACTAGAGGCAACTGTGCCTTGTGGGTGAAAAAAGCCGAGAATTTGCGACGATAATTGTTGGTGAGGGTCTCGTGTGGAAGGCTGCATGCCCCAATTCGGGAAGAAAAGTGATCGGTCGTTCACATCGTTCGAGGCCATGCCTGGCATGCCATTGGGTCTTTCGGGAGAGAGGTTAGGCTCGGTTTTGATTGCGGTCTGATTCTGTCCAATATTAGGAGGGTACTGATTGACGTAGGCATGGTGCGCACCAGACTGTGGAAACATCTGGGACCAGTCAAGGCCAGATTGTTGGGTTGAGCCCGAAGCTCCATACATAGGCATGCCATTCTGGCCCGGGGGCATGTTAAAGTTGGCCAACTGAGGGTTGATGTTCGACGACATCGAGTTCGACACATCACCATTGTAACCGCCGGTCATACTTCTTCGGTCCCGGTTGTTGTTATCTTCCATGCGACTCATGCTACTCGATCTAGAAAGCTGGTTCTGGTCGTTGGCCATGTTTCCCATACCATCTTGGATCTGGACCATACCGAATGGGTGTACGACATTATCACCTGGCATGTTAGTCATGCCGTTCATGTGACCCATGTCACCATCGTTAGCTTTTTGGGCATTTTGCTGCTGCTTCTTAACGTGTGCTTGGGGATGAGACAGATGGCTCACCCCGGTGGGGTTTCCTCGTCGAATCGAGCATTTCTGGAAGTGACGCTTCAAAATGTCACTTCGTGAGAACGTATCGCGGCATAACACGCACATATATGGGCGGTCGCCGGTATCTATATATTCACCGTTAGCATAGGGGGGAACACGCTTGTGGACCATTTTAAAGACTTACGGCGGAGAAGGTGGCGCTTCAAGTGCTTCGCGTGGAGGTAGGTCTTAGTACAGTGGGGGCAGGGGAATTTTCCATCCGCATCCTTTTGTGGGATTACCGTGTTTTTGGAAGCGCCACTGCCCGTGGGTGCAGCGGGCCTTCCTGGAGCGCTTGGCAATATGCCGCGACGACCCTGAGATCCTACCACATGAGTAGGCTGCTCACTGTCCTGCATAAGAGATTGCTGGTGAGGCATCATAGGGCTACCGCCGTAAGGAGACGGCAAACCTGACTGTTGCATGACTCCGCCAGCAGGCATAGGTCGCAGAACGGGAGGTCGCGCGGCTGCAGGAGCAGGCGCGATGGGCTGAGGATGAGAAGCCGCGACAGAAGTCTGTGGCATCATGGAGGACGATGTCGCATATCCTTGCTGAGGTTGCTGATACTGATTAGGCATCATTCCATACGTGCTGCGAGTCGGTCCAGCATTTGGCGGTGGGTATTGGCTCATACTGTTAGGCGGTTGCGGAGTATTAGGAGTCCCTGGTGTCCTGGGTGTGTGAGGGTGGCTACCGTAGATGGATTGCATAGCCGAGTTGTTGTGCTGCAAAGGCGGCAAGGTGTGCTGAATGGCTGCGTGTTGCAATTGGTTGGGAGAAATGGCTGCGGGAGAAGGATACGAAGACCCGGATGTGCCTATGTTGTGAGACGAGTATGGGTTCTGATTTGAATGGGCACTATCCATATCCCGCGTGAATGGTGTCCAAGGGGCAATTGCAGAGGAGGCCACGATTGCTGAATATGAAGCAATCTTAGGTCTCGACTATTGCAATTGATTATTCCTACTCTTTATTTTCCAGTTTTCCGAAACTCAATTGAATTTAACTGGAACTTGGGAGGGTACAGCGAACGTGACAATGCGCGCGACGCAGTGGAGAAGTGGGGATGGGAGAGAGAGAACGAAGTACGACGCGTTCAATGTTTTCGAATGTCTGTCTATTGTTCTTTTCCTCGACGGAAAGTCAAATGCCCGATATCCGATGATGCAATGAACCTGAAATTTCCTCCACGCCTATTACCCGACTTGAGGTTGTCGAGATTGACGCCAGTGTGGATTGTGGATTATGGTGCAACGGCGGACTTGACGATGTGGTGGGAAAAGTTAGATAGGATAAGAAATAAAAATAAAATATGGCGGTGATGAGGGGAACGCTGTTTTTGGGGTAGAATTGGGGATTTGAATGGAGCAGGTGGACGAAGGTAGTTCGTGAGGCTCCAGACCCAGCAGCAGAATGGGACTGATGGGGTCCAAATGGTGTTTGTTTTGTGGAGAATTTGGATCCACGTTTCTCGAAGCGTGAAATGGTGGTGGTCGCCTTCTTATTTCAACCAAATCAATAACTTTGCCTAAGTTTTTCCTTACGAGGAATTAGACCCGGATCAAATTTTTCGTCTGTTTCGGTCGGTTTTATTAATTTGGCTCGCCTGCGTTACTAGTCCCTTGTCAGAAATCAAACTGGCGCGCCTCTCTTGTCAGGTAGTCGACCAAGTCCCAAGTACAACTAAAAGAAAAGGAAAATAATAAAATAATAAAAAAGGATACGCCCGAAAGGGAAAAGTGGATTTGAATGCCGAAAAGAACCGTTTAATCGGTGATGGGTGGTGGCTGTAGTGAAATGGCGGCGGGCAAGTGGATGCTTTGAATGACGGTTGGATGATGGTGACTCGTCGAGATTTTGATGCATGCAAAATGCAAGTCAAAATCGAAAGTGGGTGGGTGTGTCAAGTTATGGGTATGGGTATGGGTTTGGGGTCTAGGTGGGAAGGGGAAAGGGAAAAAAGGGAAAAAATAAAAAATAAAAACGGAAATGGTGGATTGCAAAGGCGGGTTAGATAGATGAATTGAGGGTACCTTCAGCTGATACTGTATTTGTATAGCAATGGCAAGTTGCTAAAAAGAACGAACTGTGGCAACAACAGAATAGGGTTTTTTTTACTAGGTTCCTTCCTTCCTTTTTTTTTTGCCTTTCTCGGGGGATGGGACGTGCTTGCCTTGCCCGTAACGCGTCAAACGGGTTGATAATAAAAAAAACAGGAGGAAGGCGGGAAATAATTTTTAAAAACAAAGGAGGGAAAAAATAAGTGAAGAGGAAAAACAGACAGGCGCAAACTCACATCAACTCGAGGTCCACCAGATGATACCAATTTCAGATAGCTTCGCCCCTCTCAAAGGTTTTCTGCACGTGGACACGAATCGCTTTTTATTGTTTTCTTCTTCCTGCTTTCCTACAAGCGGTCAAGAAAGTTTGACAACGAAATTCGCAGGGATTCTCGTCAATAGATGGGACCACACTACAATCAGATGGGGCGGCGTCTTCGTCAGTAAGAACGGGAGAACGCGAGAGATGAATTGAGGATGGTTGATGGAGAAGAAAAGAGAGGGGAAAAAAGTGAGAAAGATCGAGTTGCTTAAGAGCGAGGTTGGAAAGTAAATACCAAGTTTAGGGGAGAGTGGGAGAGGAAAGAAAATCTACGATCAAATCATTTCATCAATTCCTTAGGTTAGGAGAATGAATACATGTAGGTATCAGTTGAATCGCGAGTCGGAACCTTGAAGCGCAGGAGTCAGGGTGTGAAGAGCAAGTACATGTACAACGGTCTCTCAAAATTAACGATACAGGATATGCAACTAAAAGGGTGGCGAAGATGCGAAGATGGCAGTATGCGGATTGAGCGAAATCGCTTAGACCAGGGTATGGGTGGTTTCGGTACGTACTGCACAAGCAGGGTTTTAGTATGTACTGCAATAGGTTAGACAACTCCGATAGGTTGTCAACGAGTAGCACGGATGTTTTCTCTTGCTTGGTAGGACACGCGAAAAGATTTGTGGCAGGCAAGAGCAACATCTGAATCTCCAAGTCATACAGTATGTACTAACTAACGTAGGTAGGAACAGTCTGGTAGGAATAGTGCCAGTAACCAAGGATCCACACTAGGCTACGTATGTAGTACCTACATAGTACTAATGTACTATAGGCGGTACATATCCATGATATGTATAGTACCAGGTACAGACTGGAGACTGGAGTACAGAGTACAGGATACATAAGTAGGGTATGTATCTAGGTACCTACATATAGATAATAGTACTAGGTACTAGGTACCATAAAATCAATTGATGCAGCAGCTTAGGTATTGACCCTGGTCTGCACGTCTACCTTACGTACCTATTTCTGGCTTGGACCCTTTCTGGATCTTTTCGGCCCCTTCGACGTGTACGACCTAAACATATAACTTTTTAAGACTAGCAAATAAGAAAGGCGTCAACTTGAATGATAGAAGCTACTGCTACATACACACACATACACATACATACTACATTATACTAGGTAGGTAGGTTATGTGGTAAGTGAGTGGTAGGTAATGTATGTAGTGTAGATAGATACTCACTTCCTATTAGACAACTTGAAAAACTATCTACACGTACATATAGAATGCAGTACATACATGCCTCATACATGTACATGCTTAGGTATATATAGTATATAACATTCAATGTTGAACATGAGTGGGTGGATTGGATAATACCCATATGTGCGTAGGCAGGTACTATGTATGTAGGTAGGTGGTACATATATGTAAGGTAATAATGCGTGCGCTTAATTGGGTTTACCTACTCGTGCTTGCAGTACAGATATCATATGTATGTACCTTCCTACCTTCAATATTCAAAGTTTCTACACATAGTAATAGATACTTACCTACTACACATACATACTTACTCACTTACATACATACATGCATACATACATACATACATACATACTTACATACTACACACATACCTACTCACATCAATACCTACATCCTCACCACCTCACAGCATCGTGTACTATGTAGGCATGTAGTCTAGGTATGTTCGGAAGCCTGACCAATTGTTTCCGTTTCAGTCAAAGGATATTTTAATTCTAATGGGGCCCCTTCCCCCCATTGCCGCCCTAAGCCACATCACACCTACGATGACCTCGATTAGGACTATATCGTCGATCATTTCTATGTCTACTTGACATAGTACCATAATGAGATGCGAGGACTGCGAAGACTGCGAGAACCGCGAAAAAATTGCTAGGGAATCCCTCGTGTTGAAAGATATAGCGCGCGAGCGCGCACGCACACAGTTGCACGATACGATCGTCCTGTTTGCTACTATAAGTATAAGCATGTAAAAAATGTTGAGAGTAGGGAGGCAGGTAGGTAGGCAAGTAAGTATAGTATGGTATGGTTACATAAGGAGTAAAAGGAACGGAATAGTAGGATGCGTCCGACTTCACTTGACACTAATACTAACGCTGTTGAAATTCTTGGGAACTTGGTCTATGATTTGATAGATGTAGGTATGTTATGTAGGTATGTAGGTGTGTATGGTCAACCAACCTCGACCTACATCTTCCCAAGGAACCAGGGCTAGTCATCATACCCAAGTCCTCCCATTGGCATTGATCCATGAACCTCGAACCATGGAAGCGTGAACCACCGCTAACGTTACCACCGTAGCAATGCCATGCCTCTCATAGACTAGACAGGACAAGCTTATAGTTCCGTGCTTCTATGCATAGTAGATAGTTAATAGATACCTACCTATGTAAGTACAATACCTGGGTATGCACCTACCTACCATACCTACTTACCTACAACAGTGAAATTCTGGCACACACAGATACCTTTCCTATTATATGTATTACATATGTAGTATACCTTACACACTACCTAACATCTAGAGGCCGACACAGGTAACTATGTAATTGCAATCACACATTGACGCAAACCATGCACGTTCTTGGAAGCATCAGACGGTTACTTCCGAGAAGCTCGATTCCCACCCATCTAACCACGCCTAACGTAGAATCATCACTAATACATACAATGTCTGCCACGAGTCCACGACAGCTTCATGAGCTAACTAGCTGCCTAGGTCCCTAGGTTGAGGTACCTACCCTGGGGTACCGTTTCCTTTCACAAATCGTACGATGGAATATCGTAACTCAAAGTGCGTACGCACCTCTAATAATCCAATTGGACACACGCCTCAACTCAGCCGTCAATGCGTTTATATTTGTTGGCACGCATGCGCCTACCAGCTATCTATCCATTGGGTGATCGTCTGCTACTAGGTAGTAGTCTTCGGGGACAGCCAATCGAAGGTAAACGGACTGTTTTCCCGGCACAGATACGTAAGACCCCCCGGAACGACCCATCCTACCGTACACTTATCAACTATTATGTTATGTACATTGTAAACGATTAAATTATTGCTACTACAACATACAACATACTTTATTTCAGTACCAAAAGGAACAACGTTCTATCTCGTTGCATACATACATACATACATACATACATACATAGTTATATGAAACACTGCATAGCTTCCTTTATTATGTAGGCACTGTACTAGTTAGGTAAGAGAAGATCCAGATCCTATACGTAGGTAATTATGTAGGTAGGTACTAA